TGTACGTATCTATCTATCTATATATTTTGGCTGCACCTGGTCTTAGTTGCAGCATGCAGGATCTTTTGTTGCGGTGCACAGCGTCCTCTTTGTGGTCTGTGGGCCTCTCTCTAACTGTGGTGCGCAGGCTCCAGAGAGCGTGGGCTCAGTAGTTGCAGCTCGAGGGCTCTCTAGCTGTGGTGTGTGGACTCTAGAGCACACAGGCTTAGTTGCCCTGTGGCATGTGGGATCCTAGTTCCCCGACCAGGGATCAAACCTGCGTCCCCTGCATTGGAAGGTGGATTCTCAACCACTGGACCACCAGGGAAGTCCCAGCACCAGCTAATATTGAGAGACAATGGACCCTTTCTGAACACACTATATTCCTTTTTGTAAATTCTTCTCAAACAAAACTTCTCTGAAAATAATCTGAAAAGGTCTTCAACATCAAGATATAAATGACCAGTATAGCTAAACTATCTCATCTCAGGAAGTATTTTAATTTTATTTGCATTTTAAGTTTCAATGAAAGGGATCAAGCCTTGAGTTTAGAATCTCAGAATTCGCTGAGCTGAGTGTTGGGAGAATTTTTCCGTGGGAAGGGGTAGGAGAGAGGTGGGTCACACTCCAGCTGCTCCCTTCTGGAAATGACGCAAACACATGCCTTCCTCAGCTACCCTTTCAGTTGGCACTGATATAAAGACACGTTCTGTCGCACACAGTTCTTGACTGTCCATTGCCGCACCAGAGCTGATCTCCTTTTGACCAAGGGCACGGTGGAGCGCCCTGGGGGAGGCCACAGGGCACCTACACATCACATAACAGCCTCCTCTGTGAAGCTAAACAAATATTTGCCTCTCGCTTGCAGAGCACATCTACGGAGCTGACTTTTCACACGTATTCGCAGTGTCTGCACCTCTGTGGTTCACGGTGGTATCTGTGCCAACGTCCTGGCTGTAGCCTAGGAGCCAATCAAGCAAGCAAGATTCAGTGGCAGTCCCGGTACATCATAGCAGCCAGATGTCCCCAGTCATTTGCTGTGGGCTCTCATAGCCAGAGACAGCTGTGCAGAACTGGGGCTCTGGTACCTTCCATGAGTTTGCTGGGTGTAGATGTTCTCAACCCTCAGCCTACGATTAAGGAATTATGCCCACCTTCCCCCCTACCAAAAAAAGAAAAGAAATTATGCCCAACTCTGATTCATATCTTTTTTTTTTCAAAAGTTCAAGAGAATCTTTTTTTTAATTAAGTTTTATTGGAGTATAGTTGTTTTACAATGTTGTGTTCATTTCTGCTGTACAGCAAAGTGAATCAGCTATACATATACGTATATCCTCTCTTTTTTGGGTTTCCTTCCCGTTTAGGTCTCCACAGAGCTTATTCACATCTTTGAGCAAGGGACATTGCCAGAGCATTATGAAATGATAACCCCAAGTAAGATTTAGTAATAAGCCATGGTTTAAAATGCATTTCATGGGAAGATGCCAGAGAACACAAACTAAGGGGCTGGGGACTCTTCTCTGGGCCAGGTTTGCTATTCTCTGTCCATGAACTTGAGCAATTCGCTAAATCTTTTTAGACTGCCATCTCCCTGTCTGTAAGATGATGAGGTCTGGAGTTTTTTAAGGCTTCCTTACATGCTTTCTGTATTAGTTTGCTGGGGCTGCCGCAACAAACTACCACAAATTGGGTGGCTTAAACAAAGGAATTTATCGCCTCATAGTTCTTGAGGCTAGAAGTCTGAGATGGAGGTGTCAGCTGGGTTGGTTCCTTCTGAGGGCTGTGTGGGAGAATCTCGTCCATGCCCTTCTTCTAGCTTCTGGTGCTTGGCTGGCAATCTTTGGCGTTCCTTGAGTTTTAAGTGCATCACCCCATCTCTGCTTTCATCTTTACATGGTGTTCTCCCTGTGTGCGTGTCTGTTTCTATGTCTAGTTTTTTCCCCTTTATAAGGACAGAGTCATATCTGGGTAGGGTCTACTCTAATGACCTCATCTTAACTTGATTGTCTGAAAAGACTATTTCCAAATAAAGTCATACTCATAGGTACTGGGGGTTAGGACCTCGATGCCTTTTTGGGTGCTACAATTCCACACATAACACTCGGACTCCATATTCTTGTCCTGGCCACTATGGAGCTGGCCTTCTCTCTGCAGTCAGCCTGACATTGGTCCTCTGCTTTGCTGTAGAAGGGAGGAAGACAGATGGAGTCATATCCTAATAACCCCTTTCCAGTGGTGCAATACCAGGCAAGTTACTTTACTTCTCTGAGCCTCTGTTTCCTCATCTATAAGACGAGAACAATAGGTTTACTGAGAGAAGTCAGTGAGCTAAAGCAAAGAAGTACTTGGCTGACGTATGGTAAGTGCTCAACAAATGAGAGATCTTATTGTTATTTATTCCTACTGAGTGAAGGAAAGGATGGGTCAGTGATTCCTAACTCTGACTGCACATTAGAATCATCTCAGGAACTTTTCAAAAACTCTTAGTGCCCAGGCCCCACTAGCGATTCTGAATCAGTTGGTCTCGGATGGGATCCAGGCACTGATATATTTAGAAGCTCCCTGGTTTATTTTATTATGCAGACAGGATTGAGAACCACTAGAATAAATGAAAGGGTGGAAAACACCAGTGGAAATTCTCAATACAGTTGAAAGTCAGAAGAGGTTGCCTTGGAGTTACTTATCCATATGGTCCAAGTGGTGGGATCAGCCAGAAACAGCTCTTAGAAAACTCGTGAATGAGGTGACCTAGATTTCAGAGACGTTTCTTGCCTTGTGGTCTCCCTGTCAAATATTTTCCAGGCTTCCCTGATGACGGAGCCACAGCAATATCCCATCCACTTGCTTGTCCAAGGATACCTAAGAGCTGTCCTTCCCCAGTCTCCTGCCCCAGGTCTGTTCAAAAGTCCTCGGTAAGAATTGATGCAGATAACCGCTTGATGCGCTACCTTCTTCAGGGATATCTGCCCAAGAGTGCTCATCCCAGAACTCAAAAAATCCTCCAGTGGGGAAATCCTGGACACCTAAGGGTAGACTTATGAAATGGGGACGGCAGAGCTCCTTACACCCCGCTAGGTGGGAGCTGCCTGCTTAGAAGAAGCATGGCTCCCGAGGCCCCTGCATTTGTGAACTGAAGAGCTTTTATTTTACTGAATCACTCTCTCACGCCGTCCTCCACACCAAGTCCTTTTATGTATAAGTGTGAGGTCTAGAAGCAGCTGCTCTGACAGTGGCAGGAGTGATGAATCTTGCATCGAGAGTTGGCTTTTGGTTCCCAGGCCCCTTTGCTGAGTGAGGAGAGCAGCTGTAAGCAACCCTCTCGCCACCTTCCTCTCTCCAGCTGCTCTGTCGCCTCAGCCCGAGGCCTGGCTTCCCCAGCTTCGGCTTCTTACACTGCCACCCTTGTCTGAACATCACATACTGGTCACTCACTGCCTTTTAAGTCCCAGGGTGTCTTCAGTCCTCATGGAGGAGGGCAGTGACTTTTTGTTATGTGAGTGAGTGAGTAATATTAAATAAACTGATAGGGAAATAGAAGCAATTTTTTTTTTTTTCGGTACGCGGGCCTCTCACTGTTGTGAGCTCTCCCGTTGCGGAGCACAGGCTCCGGACGCACAGGCTCAGCGGTCATGGCTCACGGGCCCAGCCGCTCCGCGGCACGTGGGATCTTCCCGGACCGGGGCACAAACCTGTGTCCCCTGCATCGGCAGGTGGACCCTCAACCACTGCGCCACCAGGGAAGCCCTAGAAGCAATTTTTAATGGCAAAGCTATATAAGTTCTCTTTATTGTCACTAAGAGGTTAGGAATGTCCATTTTCTCTTTGGCTGAATTCTTAAAAATGTAGCAAGTATTCTAAAGGAAATGATAGTTCTCTCCATCCTGATCTACTTGAGGGAGGTTGTTTGGTTTGATGCTTTCCAATTCTTTAATTTTATTTATTTTTCATTTATGTTTTTAAAAACCTGATTGATCTTTTTTTATATATAAATTTATTTATTTATTTTTGGCTGTGTTGGGTCTTCGTTGCTGTGCAACGGGCCTTCTCTAGCTGCGGGGAGCAGGGGCTACTCTGTTGCAGTGCACCGTCTTCTCACTTCAGTGGCTTCTCTTGTTGCGGAGCACGGGCTCTAGGTGCAGGGGCTTCAATAGTTGTGGCATGTGGGCTTCAGTAGTTGTGGCTCACAGACTGTAGAGTGCAGGCTTCAGTAGTTGTGGCGCACGGGCTTAGTTGCTCCGCGGCATGGGGGATCTTCCCGGGTCAGGGCTCGAACCCGTGTCCCCTGCATCGGCAGGTGGATTCTTAACCACTGCGCCACCAGGGAAGTCCCTCGATTTCTTCAATTTAAACAAGAGTATGTGAGAAGGAAGAGGAGCCAGAAACAGACAACCTTCTTTTAATATGAAGCAGGATGTCTCATCTTCATCTGGCAATAAAGCGACTTGGTCCACTTTGATCTAATTTTGGCTTTTGGGAACTCCAGGGAAAAGGAAATGAAACCTGGGATGGGGAAATGCTTTTGTTAAACCCAGAGACTCTGCCCCTGAATCCAGCTCAGTGTTCTGGAGTCACCCAACTGCCTTCTGCTGCCAGTGCCGGAGGCAGAAATGAGTACCTTTAAGGGGCGGCTACAGTGGGGAAATATTAGCTGTGCAATGAGAGTGCAGAGCTCTCCTGATGGCCCTGAACACGTTCCCACTGCCATTTCAGACGGAATTGATGCAGTTAAGCCCGAATTTCCTGGCAAGCCCGGCAGGAGGTTTTTCCAAAAGGCATCTTAGACTGCAAAGGCACAGCCTTTCCATGTCTAATAGCGAAAGCAAACCACTGGACACACGCTGCCTGTTTCCAGCTGGTTGTGCATGTTTTCTTCACGCTTTAACAAAAAACGTGCCAAGGTGTGACATTTATGAACCCACCAACTGGGAGCTGTCACACAAATCGTTTTGCCTGTGATGTGGGAAAGTAATGAATGGGGGCCGTTCCGCCCACGGAGGAGCACCGCTCTTCCTCTGGCCTGCAGCCTTATTTATTACATACCGAAGTATAAAACCGCCTGGCCGGCTGCAAGTCTCATCTGCAGCCCTGGCACTTGCCCGAAGAGACCACGGCAGCTGGAGCCCTAGCCGTCTTCTCCGGGAGGCTCTGTGGCTCTGTTGGGAATCATGCTCGGAAGGCAGCTCGTCTGTTGGCACCTGCTGGCTTTGCTTTTCCTCCCTTTTTGCCTGTGTCAAGATGAATACATGGAGGTGAGCGGAAGAGCTAATAAAGTGGTGGCGAGAATAGTGCAAAGCCATCAGCAGACTGGCCGTAGCGGCTCCAAGAGGGAGAAAGTGAGAGAGCGGAGCCATCCTAAAACTGGGACTGTGGATAATAACACTTCTACAGACCTAAAACCCCTGAGACCAGATGAGCTACCGCACCCCGAGGTAGATGACCTAGCCCAGATCACCCCATTCTGGGGCCAGGTACTCGGAATTCTCTTTTAAGGATTACTGTCAAAGCTTAATGAGTTTTGTTGTTTTTGCTCTTTTTTCAGCTATGATTCTTAGGATCGATGCTTTCCAGAAGTTGGCTGAGCTGCTTGTGGGTCTCTCTCTCTCTGGGTTGCTGTGGGATACTGGGGACGAGGCTGGTCTGTGTTAGAAAATCAGCAGAGGTAGCACTGATGGACTGAGATAAAGAGAGGCCACAGCTGTCCCATCAGAAAGGGGAACAGGGACAGCCAGCCCTGCTCTGCTGTGATTTGGTTTCTTTCTTGCTCTGTTGATGCGGAAAGGAGGAGAGCTGACCTTTGCAGATCTGACCTTTGCAGATAGATCATTAGAGATCATCATCTGCAGATCGTAAGTTGGACTTCGTTAATTCTTCCCAGCAGAGAGAAGCTGCCCTTTGAGTTTTTCACTTGATTTGCGAGTTTACTGTGACATTTCATGCCAGGCTTGGTAATTGGATTTATAGCCCTCTAAGTTGCTAAGTCTCTAGTTCACTCTGTTTAAAAAAGGACCAAAGAGTTAAAACAAAAGCACACTCTGTTTAAAATGCAGACTTGATTCTGTTGTATGAGTTAATGACTGATAATCACAGAGGACTTGTGTAAGATGCTGAGTATAAGCACAGCATCTAAGGAAACATCTTTAACTCTTTCAGGGTAGTACGGGAGTGAGTTAAGGTTTCAGTGTAGTGAATGGCAAATTGATGAAACTCATTTTAATCGAAAACATTAAGAACAGGAAGAAACAGGTTTTCAAGTATGTCTTTATTGTTTTTTTAAATTAAAAAATTTTAATTGTGGTATAATTGACATATAACATTATGTTAGCTTCAAGTGTACAAAATAAGGAAGAAGCAGATTTTGATTTGTCTTCTAGGTATCAAGCACGTTGAAATCAGATGAGGGGCAAGGAGAGTTATTCTGAATTATATGATCTTTGTTTTTTTTTATTAAACATTTTTTAAAATTTATTTTATTTATTTATTTTTGTCTGCATTGGGTCTTCATTGCTGCGCGTGGGCTTTCTCTAGTTATGGCGAGCAGGGGCTACTCTTTGTTGCAGTGCGCAGGCTTCTCATTGCCGTGGCTTCTCTTGTTGTGGAGCACCGGCTCTAGGCGTGCGGACTCAGTAGTTGTCGCTCTTGGGCTCTGGAGCGCAGCCTCAGTAGTTGTGGCACACAGGCTTAGTTGCTCTGCGACATGTGGGATCTTCCCGGACCAGGGCTCAAACCCGTGTCCCCTGCATTGGCAGGAGGATTCTTAACCACTGCGCCACGAGGGAAGCCCCCTGAATTATATGATCTTTGAACAAATAAGTTTTACTACAAGAATTGACTGCTTCTATGCGTTGAATAGGCCCTGACAAAGTCCATGCAGCTGAAATCTAAACCCCTCTGACCACAGATTGAAAGTTTGCGTTGAGACTGGTAGTGTGATCAGACCAAGATCACAGGCAGAAGCATCTGTAGATCTGCGACACACCTGGGACTTCTAACTTGACCACAAATGCAGTTGCCCGAACTATTCTGTGGGGCCTGGTCAAGAAAAAATTGCTCCTTTGCAGAGCCGTGGAAGAAATGATAACCTCTAAATCCAATCCTGCTTTTTGAAAGCCACTTTTACAGATGGTTCTTTCATTTGACAATCTTTTGGCTGAAGGGTGAGTACTACTCATTGTTTTTCTCGGTGGTAAAGATATCTGTGCTGTTGTCCAAGCCTTGATCTGGACTTTCTACTTCAAAAAATGGGCTCTTTGCTGGATCCTTCCTGGTCATGGCATGTGAGCCCCCAGAGGCAGCAGAAGGCAGATGTAGGCTGTCATCGGTCATCAATTCTTGACTGAAATCCAAATTACATTTCTATTCCACCCCACCTTCTAGTGGCTCTAGGCATCTAGCATGTGGAAATCAGATGAGGGGGAAAAGAAGCCACTTTCTAGGTTTTCTTTTTTTTAAGCCGGGGGGCTTTCCAACTCCCTTGGGTTCCTGAAGGATTTCCAAACCAGCCCCCAACAGGAGATAGTGAGGAGATTTAGCCACTGGTATTCTAGAGGGTTCAGTACAGCTCTCTGCCAGTGGATACGGAGACCCACATTGAATTTAGGACTGCTCTGTGTTCCTCCCTCTGGCCTCACTTCCCACACTGCTTCTTTTCTTTTAATCCTCCTTTTCCCTCATTCATCCCTTTACCGATTAATCTGTGTGCTTCTAGTGTGAGTCATGCTATAGGATGGGGATAAATACACCCAAGCTTCTCTCTCTGAGCAATGCTGAAGGGCTCCAGCGGGGATAAATCAACAGGTAATTAAGTACCATGTGATAACAAAGTAATGGCACAAAAGACTATTGGGGGAAAAGGGTCAGAATAGTGGTGGCCGCTGAGTCAGATCTCAAATGATGAGACGAAAGCGTGGGCATCCCCGGAAAAAATAAAATAAACAAACATGCGCCACAGCAAGAGCCTCGAGAGGGGCTTGAGGAGTGGGTGTGTCTGGAGAGCTGGGCTGTAGGAGGAAGACACCAGTGATTTTAGTGCCACCTGATGGATTCCGTTGGCCGGTGAAGAAGCTTAGACCTTATTTTGCCAGCAAAGGTTTGTTTGTTTGTTTGTGCATAGCAGGGAAGTGAGGTGATCAAGTGTGTGTTCTAGAAAGATGACTCTGGCCATAGCGTTTGTGCGGAGATGTGTAGAGGTGGGCTGAGCAGACCTGCGCTCTATTTTCCTGACATTTTCTTCTCTGTAGCTCTTTATTGTTCACCTTTATCCAGCTCCCCTCTCTTCCTGGACGCCTATCTCTCCCTCTTCCACTTCCCTTCACCTTCTTTCTCTTCCCTCTTCCTTAAGTTAAGGAAGGAGCTGTGGACTGTCTTTCCTGAAGTCATTTCCCAATAGTAGAGCTTCATTCTCAGTAGCTGCCCCTAGGCCTCCATCTACAAAATGGATGGAACTTGTCTTAGGGACTTTCTTCCTCCCATGCTGTCCATTTGCATGAACTTGGTGTTCAAATTTGACCTAATTTGGGGAAAGGAGTTGATAAACTTGAGAGGGTAATATAGAGAACTACCTAGAATGTCATTTTCCCTTACCTGGGAGAAAACTTCTCAATGAACACATCCTGTCCAACTTGTTCTAAGGCTCATGAACACGGTTCCATTTGACTGAACTCTGAAAGACCAGGCCAGAGGGAGGACCATGTTGTGAAATGTCACAGGACAGTTCTCAGGAAGGGGCCCACTTAATGACCAGAAGTCTCTCCCTGTTTTGGCGGCAGTGCTATGCTCTCAAAGTGGTTGGGTATGCACCCCATCTCCTGGCGCCAATGCCTCATACCCAGACACTAGATTTCCAAACAACATCTTTCTAAGTCACCATCTGAGGCTTTGGAAAAGACTTCAGTATGCTTGTTTGCATTATAGAGCTGGAAAGAAAATTCATGACCATCTTTACCCTATCCTCTAATTTAGTGGACAAGAAAAATGATGCCTGGGGGAAAATGACTTCACAAAAGTCACACAGACCTATGATGGGAGTTCTGGCTCCAGTCCACTTCTTTTTCTGACATTCTTAGCATCTCAGTTTTTCAATTCTATTTTTAAACCAATGGTTCCACTTCAGTACTTTCCCTCCCTCCCCACCCTTCTCCTTCCCTAAAATTTCTTATTGGCAGAGCTTAGGATCTCTTGGAACTTAAACAGCTGTATTTCATATTAGCAAAACCATACCAGGAAATTACAGAATACCTACTTCTCAGATTGCATCTTTGGATTAGAAGGTGGGGTGGTGCTGTGGTGTCTGACTTTCCAAGTGTCTGAAATCCCTTGTCTCAGACCAATTGCTTTCACTGATTTTCTTTGCCTCTGCCAGTTTTCTAAAAGGTTTTCATAGACTCTCATACCTGTGCAAGGTTGGGTCTGGGGGACAGAAGACTAGACTAGGAGATTACTCCAAATCCTAGCTACTGAAAACTTGAGATTGAGCTCTGAGCCATTGCAGGCAATTACTTGGACTACAGATGCTGTTCTGCATTTTTTTCTTAATAGCTATAGGTGGGAACCTGTAGGAAAAAGGAATGAGAGTAAGGAAAAAAGCCCAAGTTTATTTTTTGGTTTGTTTGTTTTAATTTAATTTAATTGTTTAAATAATTTTTATCGGAGTGTAGTTGATTTACAATGTTGTGTTCGTTTCTGCTGTACAGCAAAGTGAATCAGTTGTACATATACATATATCCACTCTTTTTTAGATTCCTTTCCACGGCCATGACAGAGTATTGAGTAGAGTTTCCTGTGCTATAAAAGTCTAGAGGTGCAGCTGTGTGAAGCCTTGATACATTGTTCTACTTGGATTTCTAATGATAGAGAAAACTTCAATTTTGAATGACTTCTTCCTCCCTCCCTTTCTCCCTTTCTCTCTCTCTCTCTCTCTCTCTCTCTCTCGTCCTTCCTCTCTCACCCCATCCTTTCCTTTTAAAAAGTGAATCCCTTAGCAACAGTATGCTATTCTCCAAAAACTTTTGAATTATAATTGGTGTCGAGGAAAGTTTCCACGAGTCTTTTGTAAGCCATCATTAAAAGTTGCCAGTTTAAGGGACTTCCCTGGTGGCGCAGTGGTTAAGAATCCACCTGCCAATGCAGGGGACACGGGTTCGATCCCCGATCTGGGAAGATCCCACATGCCACGGGAGCAACTAAGCCCGTGAGCCACAGCTACTGAAGCCTGCACTCCTAGAGCCCGTGCTCCACAACAAGAAAAGCCATCGCAATAAGAAGCCCGTGCACCACAAGGAAGAGCAGCCCCCGCTCGCCGCAACTAGAGAAAGCCCGTGCACAGCAACGAAGACCCAACACAGCCAAAAGTAAATAAATAAATAAATAATTTTTTTTAAAAAGTTGCCAATTTAGAAGTGACTCCAAATTTTATGAGCAACTCTAACTCTTCTGCTATTCAACTTCTGCCAAATCTCTAGCTCCTTGACAGTAAGCACAAGTTTTTTAGAAATTTATCATTGAATAAAGAATCATTGAACTCAGTGTCATATTTGAATACATTTAATATCCATTAAGTACTCATGAAATCTCGGTTCAAATAATGCGTTAATCACTTTAAATTTTCAAGTGGAATATGAAACAGAACAGCATGTTAAAGGTGGAAGTTTAAAAAAAGGGAGTTAAAGTTGTTTCAGGATGTAGATAATTAATAAGAATTTATTGGACTAATGAATACTTTCTTTCCTTTATTTTCTAAGGCAATTTTTGTGTGTTGTGATACAATTCAGAATTTCTAAGAACTCTTTACCCAGTATCATGAATATAGATAGACTTAATAACTACATTTGAGGTTGGTAATTTTTATCATTTGAGGGTCATCTACTCAATCTAGCTACATCTGAGACTACTGGCAGCTGGAAGAGAAAGGGAGCTTTCTCTTCCTGTAGCAGCAGGAACATACTTCCCAGAAACACAGCCCCAGTCCTCCACTCCCACTCCCAGTTTCCAAAGAGGCTGTTCTTCTAGTGACTCTCCTGTTTCCTTTGCCTTTCTGATCATCACCTCACCTTAGCTACTCCCTGACTCCTTTGCCATTGACATAAGATGACATAAGTCACCCCACACTTTCTTTTCTGATGTTGTCATAGGCTGTTTGGAATTAAGCTTACCTAGGGGCTGTGGCCAGAGGAAGCTCAAAAGTTCTAATTTCGCATATGTACCTTGCTCTGAAGCTTCTCTTTGTTTTTTTTCAAAGTCTCCACAAACTGGAGGACTGCCCCCAGACTGCAGCAAGTGTTGTCATGGAGACTACAGCTTTCGAGGCTACCAAGGCCCCCCTGGACCTCCTGGTCTCCCTGGCATTCCAGGTAAGGATGAGAGAGATGCGTTGTTTCCAGTCTAATTGCAGACTGTGCCAAAACAGGAGCCAGGGGTGAAGCTCAGTGAGTTGGGATCACTTGTGTGTGATCCAAAGCTTACGCATGGAAAATCCAAAAGAGAGTTGGGTGGGGAACTGGGCTTATTGAGTTAATGAGGTGGAACTGTGTAAACTATAGTATTTATTATCCATGCTGCTTGCAGAATCCCATAGGCATTAGGCATGCTGGGGCCCCAGCTTACAGGCCAGGAGGCCCTTCCCCAGCGTGGAGTCTGGAACCACTGGAGCTGAACAGGTTTATACTCTTGTTGTTTAAGTGTTTCTGCCACCGTGTGCTCCATACAGCGCACCAGATCTAGGCTTCAGGGGATTTGGGAAGTGAGAGTGGGGAGGAGAGCTTGCTGGTCTAGGTTTTAGTCATCTTCACAGTCTCTTTTACTGAGCTACACATCTTTCTGTCTGATTCTAGGTCTAGCCGAGTTTTTCTTCCCTTAATCCCCAGGCCCTTCCATGCTCAGCTGTCTCTCAGTTGACCTTCATGCCTCTCTTGGACTCATGGGGACATTTTTGGGCTCCAGCACCATATGGTGGCACGAGGCACGCTGTAGAGCTCCACTGGGTCCCTCTAGACCCACTGTTCAGCCATCTCTACTACTGAGTGGCACCCCAGACATGGATCATTTGGGGAACTTGCTAGTCTCCTGGGTCAGCCAAGGAAAGGGCAGCCCAGGTGCCCTCTGTCCCAGGACCTCCAAATCTATCTGGGGGTTTAACTGACTTTCTTGTCTCCAGGTCAATTCCTGGGGATATAGAACATTTTCTCAGGGTTTGGCAAATGTCTGCTTGCTCTTCTCTGAGTTACTCCATTGATGTTAATATTTAACAAATAAGGTTTAATTTTTCTTAATACTTTGGAGTGGCTTGTCAAATGAAACCAAATTTAGAATAAGAAAGTGCTCTGTTAGATTTTATGATCAGTAGCTTGGAATCTATGTCACTGAACACCAAGGGCAGCAGGCAGCCCGTACAGTGATTACGGGTAGGGGACTTTCAGATCCCTCTAAAATCTTCTTACGTCTAAACTCTTCTGAGGTCACAGGACAGGCTGGCCTTGGCTACGTGCTTCCCATCAGGAACAGTTTTGTCATGAGCACGTTAACTTGTAAACCCAGTCAAAGTTCATTAATCTGGAAGAATTGCAAGCTCGGTATGAAACCTGACCAAAGGTGGCACACAAAATAAACAACAAAAGGGCCTGGAATTCAACAAATATGAAAATAAAGGGAGAGGTGTAGAAATTATCTCTTAGCAAAGTAAAGTGAAGAGTTGAAATCATGATCCAAGTCTTGCTTTCAAGATTACTGTTAAAATTTTTTATCAATGATTTTACTTTTCCTCCAGTTATAAAAGTAGTTCGTGTTCTTTGTAGAAAATTTCAAAAATGCAGAAAAGTGTATAGAATGACACAAAAATCATTTGTGCTTCATCCGCTTAGAAAAAAATAAACCACTGCAAAATATTTTTATGTAATTTGTTCTAGTCTTTTTCCCCTTTGGATAAAACATGTACATATTTTATATTATATACATATATATACACATATACATAGTATCATGCTATCACGATTGATTCATAACCTTTTTTATCTAAAAAGATCATGCTATTAAATATTTTTCTTCAGCATTCTTTTTTTGTGACTATATAACATCATTTACTGGGATGTACCATTTTTTAATTTAGCCCTTTCAGTATAGATGGACATTTAGGTGGTTTCAAATCTTTGCTCTTATTAAGGATGCTTTATAATGTCTCTATGCAATTTTTCATCCAAGTCTTGCTTTATAGGTAAAACAGGCTTTGGAGCCTGGAGCCTTAGGAGTATCTAAGGCTGTTTTCAGTGTCCCATTTAAAAGTGAACCCATCTGATGATGTCACCATGGCTGTGTTTGAGCTTGTTTCAGATGGTCCCCTTTTACAATTAAGTTTGTCATTTTTGAAGAAAGGAGCTGCATTTGTATAAAAATAGATGGTGAGTATGAGTGACTGGGCTTTCTCATGTGACGATGTCTGGTTGTTTAAGGAAACCATGGAAACAATGGCAATAACGGAGCCACTGGCCACGAAGGGGCCAAAGGAGAGAAAGGAGACAAAGGTGATCTGGGGCCACGAGGGGAGCGTGGGCAGCATGGCCCCAAAGGAGAGAAGGGCTACCCGGGGATCCCACCAGAACTGCAGGTAAATCGCCTTGGCGCATCTCCAGATGACCCTCACTCAGGGTCCAGGAATCACAAGGCTTGAGTGCTTCTTCATCCTCAGTGTTGAGTAAACCTGTCTCAATTTGTTCATCTCCACCACAGGGTGTTTGCAGAAGACCTATGCTGTCAAAGTGCTTTGAAATCATTCTTAGGGAGAAATGTACGAAGGGTGAAATTCAACACCCTCATTGGACCAAATTACAAAGCAACCCTGAACATCAGCTAATCTCCATTTTCCAAATGAGGAGACATGTTCAATAACAAGGTTTTTGGCGACTCGAATATGTAAACTTTTAGATGCATAAAATATTATTAAGTAGATATTTGACCATTCCATTTATTTATCAATTTTGTTACATTTGCATATTTAAATTACATATATGGATATTAATATACAAGTAATTCTATCAAATCAGATTTTGTGGCATTAATTTTTATTAAAGGTTTTCTCATCAGTATCTTTATTACTGGAGGCATTTTATTTTGAGTCATGAGACCATATTCATTTCAGCTTAAAGTTTTTTTAATTCATTTATGAGGCTATCATTGGACATTTTATCTCAAGCCCACTACCCATTAATCTGTTCTTTTTTTATATATAAATTTATTTATTTATTTTTGGCTGCGTTGGGTCTTCATTGCTCTGCGTGGGCTTTCTCTAGTTGCAGAGAGCAGGGGCTACTCTCTGCTGCGCTGCGCAGGCTTCTCTTGTTGTGGAGCACAGGCTCTAGGTGCACGGGCTTCAGTAGTCGTGGCTCTGAAGCTCTAGAGCACAGGCTCAGTAGTTGTGGCGCACGGGCTTTGTTGCCCTGTGGCATGTGGGATCTTCCCGGACCAGAGATTGAAGCCGTGTCCCCTGCACTGGCATGCAGATTCTTAACCACTGAGCCACCAGGGAAGTCCCCCATTTATCTGTTCTTTATTTCTCTTTAAGTGATGTTCAAAATTCTTGTTGTCAGTAACACCTAAAACTTGCAAATGTGAGATGTGAGGTTAGGTCACACCAAGAAAATTACTAAGTCTGGGTTATTTATTTGGCTAATATTTTTAAGATGGATTCTTCCAAGGGACTCCTGTCAACATCGAAAACTAGCATTTTTTTATTGCTTGTTTCTAGCTGGTATGTGTTCCTGAAACAGCAACTAGTGATTAAAATTAAGTAACTGAGAGAACATACTGATGGAATCAAATTCATATTTTAAGGCAAGACAAGAAAAATTGAAACATAATTTTTTCTCTGCCCATTTTGGCCTCCTCCCTCCCCTCTAGTGTGCATTGTGCATCTGCATTATGTATTAACCAGACCTCCCCAATGGTAGAAATAACTGCTCCACCATAAAGATCAATTTCTCTTCTTTTGACGCCAGACATGTAACTCCTTAGAAGATAACATTACTTACTTACAACCTTATTAATGTTACTAGCTATATTACTTGTGTTCTGCCTATTTTAAGATTATTTTTTCTTTCATTACCAGTGTGTGACTGAGCTTCCAATAAAAATAATGATGACTAGGGGACTTGAAACAATTGACCAAATATATAGTCCTGTAAGATCAATGATTGTAATAGTGTAACTCGGGATATGGGAAGAAGCAACAAAAGGGAGCCATTTCCTGGACCGTAACAGACTAGTAAGACAGGTGGTCCACAGGCTTTTGGCTGCTGTTAACTGGGTCTGGTCCAGTAATAGCACATGAAGTGTCCCGTCAAGGAAATCCTCTCCTGACCTGGGAATGAGCATTCCTAGTGCAGTGGGACAATTGGTCACAAAATGCCTCCCAAACCTTGGTTGAAATTAAGAACAGAAGGGAGAGGATTGTAAAATAAAGAATGTTGCCCACCATCCAGTTCTATAAGAACCAAGTCATTACCACTGCAGTCGCTGACCTACAATACACTGTGAAAGGAATTCAGGGCGGAGATCAGGATGAGACATTCTGTGCTCTGGGAAAACTGACAGCACTGGCCCTCAGACAGTTAGATCTTTTCAGGAGAGAAATTTATGAACCCAGTTTCTTGCATCTTACCATTACTTAGAAAAGCACTGAAACCATTAACTAAGATATCTGTTCCTTGTGAAGAGCAGTAACCTTCTACCAAGATGTGTGCTTGACTGCATGGACCCCTTCACCCAAATCACATAGATACTGGTTTCTCCCCCTATCCCCACACCTCTTCAGAACGGTCCTCAGAGCTTTCTGAAAGACTGTCCCCTGGGTTATAATCCTCAGGTTGGCTCTAATAAAATTTTCCAATTTCTGTCTTTGATTACTGATTAATATTTTCATGGACAATACTATAACACGAGAAACTTTCAAAGAACTATAAGGTACAGCCACTCTATCTGAAATATCAGTGGGGAAAACTTTACCCTTTATTTGGGCACATGTGGTAGTTGTTTGACCTTGGATAAATTCCATCATTTTGGGGGGAATCAAGTTATTTTAAGGGTAAGCTAAGAGATCCTGTGTGTTACGCAACCTGCTTTTTTGGTTTCATAACGTCTTTTTTTTCGTAACTTTTTAATGACTGCTGTTTAATAATTTTAGCAACCTGCGGTCTGTGTGCCAGTATAAATTTACAAAGAAAAGGAGACAGATGCCATCGCCCAGATTATAGGTACCTAATAAGATGGATGGTTCTCAAAGCTAGAAACTAACCCAAATCTGGGAATGGTTATATGCTCGTTAAGGGGCCTTGTAGTAGCCAGTTTAATGGAGAACACCTGGGCAATTATTACATTTTGCTCCATCAGCTTTTTAACCCTAAAAACACATTATGGTCATTAGGGAGAACTACCTTCACATGTTTTGAAGGAGGCATTAAAGTGGAGACAAGATTGGTCCTGGGCAGATTGTAACGGAGGGTGACTTCCAGCCCCTTCATCCCCATTTCTAAATCTCGTCCTCTGGTGTCACCCCTTCTTCATCCTTCTGTGTCCAGTGCCCTCACACTGTCCTCTGACTGCCCCAATCCTTTCTGTGTTGATTCTCCCAGGCCTGCCTCCCTGTCCACACCCCAAGCCTTCCAGAACTTCAAATTATTTGCTCTCTCCTCTCTCACCCCTCTCCCTTAAAACTTCCATTCATTCAAGATGGATAATCCCAGCAAGTTAAAGAATTTATTGATCTAATTCACACTCAGTTTCAATGACTCATTTGGACAGGGGACTGGCATTGACTTGCAAATGTGACTCTCCAATGGTGGTACAATTTCCGAGTGTGGGCTATTCCCATACCACCAAGCAATTCTCGGATACCAGCTGGATGTCCTACAATTCAGCTCACTTCTGACGCTTAAGAGATCAGTCCTTCGAGACTGCCCCACCCTTCCCCCACTTTAGGCGCCAATCCAAGTTCAGGTTATCACCTGTGCTTCTGTCTTCCAGTGACCGCCCCCGCCCCTTGGGTTTGATAAATTTACTAAAGCGGCTCACAGAAGCACTCAGAGAAACATTTTACTTACTTGCTCACCAATTTATTATAAAAGGATGTAACTGAAGAACAACCAGATGGAAGAGATGCATAGGGCAAGGTGTGGGGAAAGGGGTCTGAGCTTCCACTCCCTATCTGAGAGCGCCACTCTCCCCAAATCTCCATGCGTTCACCAACTGGGAAACTCTCCAAAACTTGTCGTTTGGGTTTTTTTTTTTTTTTTTTCTTTTTTTTGCGGTACGCGGGCCTCTCATTTCCGCGGCCTCTCCCGTCGCGGAGCACAGGTTCCGGACGCGCAGGCTCAGCGGCCATGGCTCACCGGCCTAGCCGCTCCGTGGCATGATGGGATTTTCCCGAGCCGGGGCACGAACCCGTGTCCTCTACATCGGCAGGTGGACTCTCAACCACTGCGCCACCAGGGGAGCCCAGTCCCTTGGGTTTTTATGAGGCTTCATTACTTAGGCAAGAGTAATTAAATCACTTGCCATTGGTGTCTGATCCTCTGTCCAGCCCCTATCTCTCCTCTGCGGAGGTTTGGGGGCAGGGGCTGTGAATGGGGGGATGTGGGAGGACAGAGAGTTCAAAGCTCTCTAATCACGTGGTTGGCTCCGCAGGCAACCAGACCCTCCCGAGGGGTTTTTCCAAAGTTACCTCATTAACATAACAAAAGACACCTCGATTGCCCTCAACACTTAGGAAATTCTGAGGATTTTAGTTCTCTGCCAGAACTGGGGGCGAATACTAAATATATATTTATTATAAATCATAATATCACAGGTGTCTTTTTGGAGAAAATAACACAGAGCAAACAAAGTTAAAAAGTTGGCTGGAGGACTTTTCGGATCCTTTAGTATATGCTAATGGACATTTAATAGCTATATGTAGAAGATTTCATCCAAATTTTCCAGTATTATTTGATAATAGAATTTTAATATCTCAGAAAGCACTTTAAAGTCTAATGTTCATTGAAACACATGCTCAGAACTGTTGATATATACTTTTAATGATGCATAGCATAAAAATGTTAGAAATCACCATGATTTAATTTTTCTCTATAGATTAATGTTTAAATTATTTCCAATCTTGCTGTTACAAATATTGGTGAAATAAACTTCTTGTATCAAAACCTTATTTCTCTAAGATAAATTGCCTTTTAATTAACCACCAACTCTTTGCTTAGATCGCGTTCATGGCTTCTCTGGCAACTCACTTCAGCAATCAGAACAGTGGGATTATCTTCAGCAGTGTCGAAACCAACATCGGAAATTTCTTCGATGTCATGACCGGTAGATTTGGGGCCCCAGTATCAGGTGAGAGGTAAAAATAAATGACTGGATTAATCAATTAAGCAACCAAGAGAAAGAAGGGAGGAAGTGGGGGAGGGAGGGAGGGAGGGAGGGAAGGAAGGGGGAGGGAACAAAGAAAGAAAGACCCTAAGGGAATTAAGAGTTCTTTGTGATTCTGGTTAAAACATATATATATATATATATATATATATATATATATATATATATATATATGAAAAGACAGAGACATTTTTAAAAATGATGACGACTGTGGGCTACTTAGATTATTAACTCATTCAAACTAACCAAATAAAGCTTAAGGGCATAGTTACCTCTGCCTTGAAGAGCCCTTATTCTCACAGTTGAAATGTGTCATAACTGAGTTCATCCCCTCTCCTTTGCCACACCCCAAGGAAGGCCGTAACGTTTTTTAAAAACATTAAAAAAAATTTTCTTGAGTACTTCTATATTCATTTCCTATTGCTGCTGTAACAAATTACTACAAACTAGGCTTAAAACAACACAAAATTATTCTGTAACAGTTCTGGAGGTCAGTACTTCAAAATCAGTCTCACCGGGCTAAAGTCCAGGTATGGGCAGTGCTGTTTCCTCTAGAGAGTTCTAGGGCCTTGCCTCTTCCAACTTTTAGAGGCTGTCACCATTCCCTGCCTATTGGCCACATCACCTCAATCTCTGCTTCCACTGTCACATCACTTTGTCTTCTCAGATTCTGACCTCCTTGGTCTTTTATAGGGACAGAGTGATTACCCTGGGCCCACCTGGATAATCCAGGATAATCTCCCCATCTCAAAACCTTGAATTTAATCACCCTTGCAAAATCTCTTTTGCCATATAAGGTAACAGTCACGGATCTTGGGGATTTTAGGACATGGGGGCCATTATTCAGTCCCCAACCACTTTCTTACTTTCTAGTTCACAAGCTGCTTCAAGCTCATATTGCATTTTCCCCTGTCCTAGCTCTGGAAATACCCATTTTCCCAAGGAGTCTTGGGAGACTAGTATTTAGAAACCAAAACTTGGGTGCTAAATGTACTCATCGCTATTAGCAGGTCACTGCTTCTGGGTCCTGTCAATGGACAGAGTTAGGAAATACACATGTATGCTAATCATGCAAGCATACATATCTGTATTTATTTTCCTACTATCTATCTATCTATGTTGTGTGTTAAAAAACAAACGAAAAAACATGAGTTCATTCTGATACATCTGACTCAAATCCAGCACCACTGAGTTCATCCTAGCATCCTCTTTATTTATTTGTAACTTCTTTCTTTGACAATGTGAACCCTGGCTCTCTTAATCTATAATATATTTACTTATTTGTTGAACCTTAGTATACAAATAAAGTAGTTAAAAAATTGCAATCCCGTGTGCCATGAGAAACAAAGTTACCAACTAGGGTGTAATGTTTGTGTCCAATTTTTTTATTTTTACCATCCAGTCAAAACACTGTCTTTAAAAGCCCTTAGATCATCTTTTTCCCCCATGCCCTTCAGTTCTGTTACTTCATTCATTTGTAATACAGTTAGATTCATTTGTCATAATCTCATCTTGAGTTTCTCATATTCTAGTTGAGTTTTTAAAACTCTGCAAGGAGCAAAATTTACTCTTTGTGGTGTACAGCTGCTCTATGGGTTTTGAGGAGTGCATAGAGATATATCTCCACCACCATCGTATCAAATGGAACAGTTCTTTCATCCCCCAAATTCCCTTGTGCTATCCCTTGGTAGTCAACCCCTGTGTACTCCAACTCCTGACAATGACTGATCAGTTTTCCAACCTTAGAATTCCAAAATGTCACATAAATGGAATTGTACAATATATACAATATGTCTCTTAGCAAAATTCATTTAATGTTTACACATGTCTATGTATGAATCAATAGTGTTTTCCTTTTTCTGGCTATGTAGTATTCCGTTGAATGGATGTATCGGTTTGTTTATCCACTCATGAGTTAAAAGACATTTAGACTATTGGTGAATTGACCCTTTGTCATTATATAATGTTTCTCTTTATCCTTGATAATATTTCTGAAGTCTCCTATGTTTAGTATATTATAGCTTCCCCAGCTTTCTTTTGGATAGTGTTTTCTATCTATCTATCTATCTATATATCTCAAATATTACAAATAAGCCAATCAATGAGCTTATTGTGTCTCCCACCTTCTCTCTTTCTTAATTTTTAACTTTTGGTGGTTGAATCATTTATACACTGTCAAGGTATAAAACAATTACATTTTAGTTTGTCAACATTACCCCTCCTATGATTTGGACTTACCTTGCAGTTATTCAGTGTTCACCACTAGTCATGTTGCCAAAGTCTCCCAGATATCTCTTTATTAGCTAAACTTTATCTTTAATTTTCTCAAGAAAGCTTATGCCATCAGTATTCCCTGAGACTTTACATGCTCTAAACTGTTATAACCTTGGCTGCAAATAAAAACCTTGGCTTACTTTTCTTTTTTTTTGGTCCTGTTTTCTGGCATTTGGTCTGGAGAACTCTGACATAAGTCTGAGTTTTTTCGTCTCATAAGTGACAATCTTTCTGCTTGACTTCCCAAAGAATTCTTTCTCTATCTTCAAAGTCCAGTGAGTTTTCTAGAAGAAGTGTTAATCATTCTGGGTCAGATTTTCCTGCTGTGTCCTTTCAATATGTGTGTGTAAGCCTTCTTTTTGTCTGGGAAATCTTCTTTGAATTATATTTTAAAACATAAATAAAGTTTTTTCTTCTCGTTGTACTAAGGTGAGGTGGCACTGGGAGCAGTCTGACTCGTGTTAGGAAATTAGGCAAACGGGATATATTGTCTATAGAATATTTAAAAACTGTAATAAAGCCAATGAAAGTTAGCTAGATTTTTTTTATTAGCATCATAGAGCAGCAGTTCTAAACATGTCAGAGATAAAATACTCCTCCCCTGTGGGGTGGACCACTCGCAAGCATCCCCCTGGCTCCCTCCCCCTGCACCTTAGTACACCACTGGTTAACTTTTTCAAGAACTCCAAGTATACTTTCTTTGTCTTGTTTTTAACTTTTCTTAGTCTGTCTTCTGTATGCATTATTTTCTCTAATCTTTTGGTGCTCTTTACTTCCATCTCATGTTGCTTGCTTTTTCCGTTTCTATCCTGTATATGCTTAAATTGCATCTTCTCGGGGTTAATTATCCTTTTTGCTTCTTCCAATTTCGTCTGTCTTGTTTCTGTGATCCTTTTTTTTTTTTTTTTATGTTTTCTGTGTTTTACATTAGTCATGATGTCCTGGCTTTCAGTTCCTCCTCTTGTCTGGTCATTTCTACCGTGGATTTCTGCATTCTGTTTTACAATGTTCTTTCATAGAGGGATTTGCTTCATTAATATATTTCAAACCCATGATGGAATCTTTGCTTACATTTTTCATCTACCACATGATAAAATTTCTTCTTGGTGAGTAATTTTTGTTCTTTTCTACTTTCTAAAATTAACCGATGGTTGAAGAATTTTCCTAGATCAGCTCTATGCAGTAGTTTCTTGGGGAAGGGGAGGGACCCCAGCACACTTCCGGGCTTGGTGGCTTGGTGGTTCCTACCTTGCTGCCAGGGGACTCCCCATTTCTTTGTTTTCTTTCTTCCTTTTCTTTTTTTTTTTAAATATGGAATGCTTCACAAATTTGCATGTCATCCTCGCACACGGGCCATGCTGATCTCTGTATCGTTACAATTTTAGTATCTGTGCTGCCGAAGCGAGCACTCTACACTTCTTTTTTGACTGCCCCGCAGGGCTTGCCAGATCTTACTTCCCCTACCAGGGATCGAACCTGCGCTCCTGCAGTGGAAGCACAGAGTCCTAACCACTGGACCGCCAGGGAAGCCCCGCCACTTCCTTTAACTACAGCCGCTCTGTGTGGCCACACTTCTCTGTCTCCCCAGACTGCACTGGGTCTAGGAAAACTTCTAAAACCAGCCTTGCACTGGCCGGTTCCTTCGCCTTTAGGAGACTTATATTTGCTGGTAGATTCTGAGATCTGCCACCGCAGGATGGCTTTCCACACCTTCTGTGCTTTATCTAGCAACCTTCTCCCCAAACATAACTTTTGCTTTATCTCAGCCCTGCTCACAGGAGCTTCTTTTCAGCATCTATATTTCAGAGTGGCCCTTCTGCATCAGGGAGTGCATTTTTCTGGGCACTGTTTGAGATCTGCTGCCACTTGGCTTCCTCAAAACTCCTTGCCCTCCATGTTGACTCCCCATGACTCTGCCTGCTGTCAGTGACACGTGACAGCACTTAACTGATATGTTAAGTTTATTGATTTTTTTTTCAGTCTCCTAGTTTTGCAGAGAATGGATACTTTTTTGGTGTTTGTTGTCAATTTTCCTTGTCTCTGTACATGGTATTGAGAAGGAAAAAAAAGAAAATTCGGATGGGTGCAGTGGCCATGTTAGATTTGTCACAAATGCTTTCTTTTTTTCAAATTTATTCGTTGTATTGGGTCTTCGTTGCTGCGTGCGGGCTTTCACTAGTTGCGGCGAGCGGGGGCTACACTTCATTGCAGTGCACGGGCTTCTTATTGCGGTGGCTTCTCTTTGCTGCAGATCACGGGCTCTAGGTGTGCAAGTTTCAGTGGCTGTGGCACGTGGGCTCAGTAGTTGTGGCTTGTGGGCTCTAGAGCGCAGGCTCAGTGGTTTGGCACGTGGGCTTAGCTGCTCTGCGTCACGTGGGATCTTCCCAGACCAGGGCTCAAACCCGTGTCCCCTGCATTGGCAGGCGGATTCTTAACCACTGTGCCACCAGGGAAGTCCTGTCACAAATGCTTTTAATGTGTGCCTTGATTTATTTTTCTACCCAGCTGAAGTCAGAAATGAACTGACATACGAAGTGATAGAAGCAATCTTTCATCATGCTTCAATCAGCTTTAAATCTTCTTATGTGATTTTCTGCTCTGAAGGCTTATGTTATAATTTTCCTATAACTATTTTGTTAAACACTGTCTGTGCCACAGATTACATAGGTACGTAGATATGCCCAATGAATGCTTCCATTGCTTTCAATGGCTTTATAATTGAAGCTCAAGGATTTAGTTGTGTTTTAGAATTCTCTTGAGCTGGACATAATTCAGACAATAACAACCATCATTTGACTCCCACTTTACTGTTTAAACCTCATCCAATAGATTATAAAATGACCTTTTCATACTTCTTAACTCTGAGAGTGATGGGACAGAGAAGGCTGAATTTTACAATTATGCAGCACAAAGACCTGAAAAACAGAGTTCAAATGTATTACCTCTGGTTTTAGTACCTTCCCTTGCAGAGCAAAGCCATGTGTGGATATAATATAGATTCACTTTTGTATTATATTTCCAACTCTATAGTCATTTCAGTTATTCACCATTTGGTTTCTTAGTCTTTCTAAAATGCTTCTGCATCTATTTTTTATAATAGTCATCATTTTTTCCAGGAAAAGTAATATCTTTTTCTGTCATTTTGTTATTATTATTATTCTATTTTATTTTTGGCTGCATTGGGTCTTCATTGCTGTACACAGGCTTTCTCTAGTTGCGGCATGTGGGCTTCTCATTGTGGTGGCTACTCTTCTTGCGGACCACGGGCTCTAGGCGGGCAGGCTTCAGTAGTTGTGGCTTAGTTGCTCTGTGGCTTGTGGGATCTTCCTGGACCAGGGCTCGAACCTGTGTCCCCTTCATTAGCAGATTGATTCTTCACCACTGCACCACCAGGGAAGTCCCTTTTTCTGTCATTTTGATTCCCACTTTATCTTCTTGAGGCATTGAAAATTGTTGTGTGTGCATGTAGTAAGAAGTTTTGTAAAATGTGAAAAACTGCACACATATAAATTACTTTCTTTGAGTCTCTAATTTCTATCTGCCTTTACTTTTCATCTGTGGACCAATCTTTAGGCATATGAATGAACGTGACTTATTTTTATATCGTATCTTTTGTTCTCAGCACATTGAATATGCAAGCCTGGCACTAAATTAAGCATAATCATAGATCTTTTTATTTTTTTATTTTTTTGCGGTACGCGGACCTCTCACTGTTGTGGCCTCTCCCGTTGAGGAGCACAGGCTCCAGACACGCAGGCTCAGCGGCCATGGCTCACGGGCCCAGCCGCTCCACGGCATGTGGGACCCTCCCAGACCGGGGCACGAACCCGTGTCCCCTGCATCGGCAGGCGGACTCTCAACCACTGCGCCACCAGGGAAGCCGAATCATACATCTTTATTTGGTTCAACTTGACTCCGAGGCAGATGGATCAACATGGTAGCCTTAGAGCTTCTATTTTATTTGATTGCATCTTTGGAAAACAGCATAGAACTATGTGGTGCTTTTTTTTTTTTTTTTTAGATGTTTCTGGGTTTTTCTTTACAAAATCTACTATGGTCTGACTGTGTCCCCCTGAAACTCACATGTTGAAAGCCTGATGCCCAAGGTGATGGAATTAGGTGATTAGATCACATGAACTCCCATGAATGGGATTAGTGCCCTCATAGAAGAGGTCCCACAGAGCTCCCTAGCCCATTCAGCCATGTGAGGACACAACCAGAAGTCTGTGACCTGGAAGAGGGCCCTAACCGGGTCTTGGAATTCCAGTCTCCAGAGCTGTAAGAAATAAATTTTTGTTATTTATGAGCTACTCAGTCTGTTGTATTTTGTTATAGCAGCTCAAATGGATTAAGACAAGGCCATGAGTTTAAAAATGTAGCATGGAAATCAATAAGAGTTGGATGATTTATATTCATTCATCTTTCCAAAATGCACTCTCAAAACCAAGATCGTTTAGAGTTAGGAAGATTTTCCTTTTCGCTCATCTCTCTACTGTTGGATTCTTCTTAATCTTTCAGTGAAGGTATTTTCTACACTGGCATTTAAAATGTATCAGGTATATTAAGTTACTTTCAATTAGGAGCCCTAGACTCTTAAAAGAAAACTAACATATTTTAAAATATGTTGGTGTTATTTTAATGAAAAGGATTCATATTTTTTGTAGCAAGGTCATGCTGCTGAGTCAAAGTTGAATCTTTTTATTTATTGTACATAATTTCACCTACTTACAATGAATAACATGAGAAATTGCTGGAGCTGTTAGAACTGATGAACATTTCACTGTGCTACAGTACTTTCTTATCTTTGGCTAATGACAATGTTGCACTTGGGTCTTTTTTTTTTTTTTTTTTGCGGTACGCAGGCCTCTCACTGTTGTGGCCTCTCCTGTTGCGGAGCACAGGCTCCGGACGTGCAGGCCCAGCGGCCATGGCCCACGGGCCCAGCCGCTTCGCGGCACGCGGGATTCTCCCGGACCAGGGCACGAACCCGCGTCCCCCCCATCGGCAGGCGGACCCCCAACCACTGCGCCACCAGGGAAGCTGTTGGGTCATTTTGTTAGGCCACAGAAGACCACGGGTGCCTCCATGCAGGCCTCTTTACTTTGTCCATATGTGTCCTGAGGAAGGTGTGAATGATGGTTAATCTAAACCTAGGGATGGGTTTATATACTTTGCGCTTTGTTAGGGGCAAGGATAGGCCATGAGATACAGCCAAATCCTGCCTTTAAAGACTTTGTATTCTTGTTAGGGAAACATGGTCTACGCACTGAGAAAGTCTCAATAATATGTAAAGCAGTTTGAAGGTGAGAGCAGGTAAAGGGACACTCATAGAAATAAAGGCCAAGAAGAACCTACATACCACGTAGAATAGCAACAAAAGAAGTGTGATGTCATGGGACATATCTCCCCGCTATCTCCCAGTCCTCAATGTACAATAGTTAATATAAATGTGGATAAATATCGGCCTCTTTCAGGTGTGTATTTCTTCACCTTCAGCATGATGAAGCATGAGGACGTTGAGGAAGTGTATGTGTACCTCATGCACAACGGCAACACGGTCTTCAGCATGTACAGGTGAGTGGCCTTTTCTATCATAGGTATCCATGCTGCCATTGTTCGCTCAAAGGATGGCCAATGCCAGCGGGTATATAGGAATCAGCAGAGACTGGCATAAACCTTGTTGTCGTTGAGACCTCCCATGTACAATATATGGCCAGATTATCTTTACTGTTTGGGAAGCAGTGAATCTGATAAACTTGATCATAAGCAGGTTGTTAAGAGGTCTTGAACTAATTACTAGCAACACTCCCCGTAACTAGTCATTTGTATTCTTTTCTCAACTCATTCTTTCTTTCCTTCCCTGTCAGCCTTTTCTTCTCCTTTCCTACTCTCCGCCCCCTTTGCCTAGAGTTTAGCCCTTTTGATGGCCTCCTCTATCATCCCTGGAGCTGGTGGTTCAAGAGTTGCGAGTTGGTTTCCTTCTTTAGGCAGTGTTGAGGCTCCGATGTTTACCTTAGCAACCTGGCCTTTAGGCACCTTGGAAAAAAGTTCATTTAAAAAAGAAACATTGCAATTTGCTCTGATATAAGCTTAAGATGTAGGGAAGAGAGGCCAACACCTTTCCCATGATTAAATAAATGGGTATTGTGAAACTCTGTGAAAAACTTCGTGGTTGTTATCTTTTCTCGGTTATTTTTGATGACTTGTGGGGATTGCCATATTTTCTTCTTTTGGACCCTGGCCTCTAGTAAGAGGCTTTGAAAAGCCAAAAGAGAAAAAGATGAGTTAGGTAGGTGAAATACTGCAACAAAGAGATCCAGAATATTGTGGCTCGAACTCACTAGAACTCAATTTTTCTTGCCTGGTTTCAGGTTGAGGAAGGATGGGGTGGAAAGGGTGGAGGAGGGAATTGTGTGGAGTTTGGAAGGAGAGTTGCTCCACCAGGTTTTTGAGGGATGTGGGCTGGTGAAAGCATTTCTGCCATCTATAAAACTGACTCCCAAATTCTCACATCATTGTCATTGCCACAGTCAGAAGGAGGAAAGAACAACAAGCTTGTGGACACTTTTATGCATCAGGCGTTCTATTCCAAGTCATCACGTTTTCCTAAATGTTTTGCTCTAGCATGACAGGGATCTCCAACTTTCAAGCCCACGATATCTGTTTCCTCACCCCTCTCTGCCTGACCGTGAGCCGATGAAACATGTTTTAGTTTGCGTTATGGCAGCACCCTTCTTTAGAACCAAATTCTAAATTAGTTAAGGTGGACGGAACTGCTATAACATTGGTCCAAGGGCTTGAACATGATAGAAATTCCTTTTCTTCTCATGGCACAGTCTTCAAACACTCGGGCTTCAACAGATGGCTTCCAAGGTCACGCTGGTCATTGTCATTAGCATTCCACACAGTCATAATGAGGAAGGAGCAGGGGGGCTGTTTGTGAGAGCTGTATTGGTGAATCCTATACATAAGTGGCACATGTCATTTCTGTTCACATGGCATTTAGAGAATTTAATCCCAGGACTATATGTAATTGTATGAGACTCCGGAAGAGAAGGGAGGACGGATTTTGGTAAAGAGCTGGCTGTTTACTGCAAAGACTAAGTAGTTGGTGCCTTTTTTTCTTTCTAGTTATGAAACAAAGGGGAAATCAGATACATCCAGCAACCATGCAGTGCTGAAACTGGCCAAAGGGGATGAGGTTTGGCTGAGAATGGGCAATGGCGCTCTTCACGGGGACCACCAGCGCTTCTCCACCTTTGCAGGCTTCCTGCTCTTTGAAACTAAGTAAAAGTATGAATAGACCAGCTCCACTTTTGGGAAGACTTATAGCTGAGCTGGTATTGTCATGATGAGGGACTTTAGATTTGATGGTTCTACATGTTGTATTAAAAAAATGTTTTTATTGGTTACATTGCTAATCATACTACAGGTACATCAGTAATGTGGGATGACTCAGGAGCTCAGAAGAATAAACCACAAAACAGTCTTCCCAAGTGACCTTGACTAATATACCCAGCAACCTTTATCACTCTTTCCTAGGCACCTAAAAGAGAGTTCCCTTCTTGATACAGGTTGGAAATAATTGTTCCCATCAGAGAAGTCATTTGCAAAGAGTATTGGCGGCTCTAATAGCAACATTCAGGAACCCCTGAGGGTCTGGGTTCCTCATTCTTTTATTTATTATTATTATTTTTTTGGTACGCGGGCCTCTCACTGTTGTGGTCTCTCCCATTGCGGAGCACAGGCTCCGGATGCGCAGGCTCAGCGGCCATGGCTCACGGGCCCAGCCGCTCCGCGGCATGTGGGATCTTCCCGGACCGGGGCACGAACCCGCGTCCCCTGCATCGGCAGGCGGACTCTCAACCACTGTGCCACCAGGGAAGCCCTGGGTTCCTCATTCTTTACAACGTTTCAGAGAACAGGATGCAGTGATTATGATGGGGCCAAGGAAAGAATAGGGGGCACTTGCCTGGATGAAGGTACCAGAAATATTTGTAAAGTCTAGACTGGGAAGTAACACTTTGATCCAGTGGGTCAATATTCATGGATAAAGTATAGATATTTTTTAGTAATTCCAGATAGCTTTAAGATAGCAGAAGTATTCACAATTCTCAAAAATAATTGACGACTCCTTTTTTTTATAAGGATAATGCTATAATTAAATCTTGACTTCTAATGGCTTATATTTTTGGAAATAGAATTTTCCTGTGATCCAGAATTGGGCTTACCAGATCTGGATTATCAGATTGACTCTTCTCCTTTGCATCTCTTACATTACAGCAGAGCTTTGTTGACTTTGGCCTGCAGTGAGTGTAGGTCCATACAGTACGGATATAATCACCCACTTTTCTATCAGCTTAGAAATTACCCTAGTATACTATACACACACTGACATGGCATGTTTAAGGAGCTGTAAACCCAAACATATACAGCCAAACTAATGTATACAAAATATAAGGGTATTTCACTTAGGAGACATATAATAAAATTGCTTAATCTTTTTAAAAAATAAAAAATTATATGGGAATTGCCTGGTGGCCCAGTGGTTAGGACTCGGTGCTTTCACTGCCACGGCCCGGATTCAATCCCTTGGTCACGGAACTAAGATCCCGCAAGCTGCATAGCGCAGGCAAAAAATAAAAAAATCTGTATATTTAAAAAAAAATTACGTGACTTCTTTGATTACCATATTTAATCAATATTCACAGAGCAGCTGTGCCACTTGACTTTTGCCTATACCTCCCCAAAAATCAATTCTCAAAGGATTAAGTTTGCCACCAAAAAGATACTCATGAGAACGTGCCGTAAGTTCTGATGACAGTACCCCAATTGGTTTACTTTAAGCAAAGAATCATTGGAATATGCGTTTACCTTGACGTTGAATCATATTTAAAATGCACTACAGAGATGTCCATCTAACAAATATTCCATAATGAATTCCCTTAGAAGTAATGAGCCCTTAATTTCTGTTACAGTTTGAATTTCCACAAAGGCTTTTGAACTATGTGTTTACTTGTATCTTGTATTGATTACCCCCTATAGCTAGAAGCAGAGATAATGAATTAGAGCTGCCCTTTTAGCTAATAATTGTTCCACATTCATGCCAGTCTTTGACCCTTTCCTTTTGATCTACAAATATTTTGGAACTCTTCCTGAATCCATATACAATGCTATTTTAAAGTGAATGGATGTTAGCTATAATGTGCTTGACTGGTAATGTTTTTGTGGTTTTGTGTCTATCTCCCTCCCCCACCCCACCTCGGTATAGGGTCATGGGGTTGAAGTTTACTCTTACCAAATGTCATAACTTTCCTAGAAGTACATTGCCAATAGATAACTGAATATTGCATGTTGCCCAAAAGGACTTCATATCTAAAGAGCATGCATTACTAATAAAGTGACTTAGAGTAAGATATTGGCCTGGCTTTAGATAAAACTGAAGCAAGAAAACTGTAATAAGCATTATATGGAAATAAACCCACTTTTGTGAAATGTTTCTAGAATGTTTTTAATAAAGTTGAATAGTCATACAATTATAAGTCACTATGGTTTGTTAACACAAAGTTAAAATATTTTCATGCAGATGATGTAAACAGCCATACAATCGATGGTGTGGGCACAGAACAGGGTCACCGTCTACAGAAAACTCTACTTTTCAGTTATTCTATTGTTCTAACTTCAACCCTCTGGGTCTTTAAGACTCCGATGTTTAGAGGGTCCTGTGATGAAATCAGCATCCCTGAGGGGAAGGGACCTTCATCACACACTTGAAGTCTTTCTATGTTGATGCCTAAATTCCAGTTTTCACCTTGGTAGAGACACCCAAGATCTGGTTGCAGGCAGGTAGAAAGCACTTTGGGCTGGCAAATAAGTCCCAAGTGTGAAGAAGAGTGGGTAGTAAGGATGGTGGGAGAAGGCCAAGGTAATTATCATAGATTCATAATTTCACCAACGACCAGAGTTATATCTGGAAGACTGATTTTACGAGTCTTCCTAAAACTGAGGCTCTGAAAAGGAGACAGTAGGTAGGTGTCATGGGAAATTTAAATATATCATCTAAGCAGCCAACTTTAAAATTCTAAACCCCCAATGAAGGCAAACTCTACAAATGAAACACATGGGTGTATGCCTGCTGCAGAAATGCAGTACAGGGTAGAATAGCTTCACATAATGATTAGGTTAGGTGATTTTCCAGTGTAGAAAAGGCTACGTTTGAACCTTGGACAACGAATAACTTATACTGAAGGAATTTTATTGAGCATATTGTGAGTAAAAGCCGAAGTCAATAATATTCAAACAGAGGATAGAATGATCAAATGTAAACTACAAAGGGCCTGGCTGGAATTGATAAACATCTACTCTGTGCAAAGGTACTGTGGTATTCCAGGAGTGACTCAGCATTTAAAGTACAAGTCTTACCTTCCATGAGTTTTCAACTCAGTGAAGGAAGATAAGTAAAAAGAGGAAAGTGCATGGATGTGTGGATAAAGAATATCAGAATATCACTTGCCACATCAGTAAACAAAGGGTATTGCAGCCATCAGGCCATCAGCTACTGCAGCTGTGAGCTGTGAGGGGACTTGGGATGGAGAAAAACAGGATCCTGGCCCCAGATAGCTAAGGTGCACATCAAAGGCACCTGTCACCTGCAGATGCCCAGGTGTTACGGGACTTTCCCCCAGTTTTCTAGGAAGGGAGGATGGGAACTCAGCCCTATTAGAAACTAGAAACCAGACACCAGACCAGAATTCGAGTTCTCTGCCCACCAGAGGTGATCAGGCTCCATCCCTCAGGTCAGGCTGAGGCCCTTCAACCAGACTCCTGCGTCCAGGACCAGGACAGAAGAAAAAAGGGTAGGATAGGAGGGGTTGGAAAGAGGAAAGGGAGAGGGAAGGGGAAAGAGGTCAATAAAGTTCCTTACCCAGAGTTCCTTGTCGGGGCTCTCTGGCCAGTCGTCTGAGTCAGGAGGAGACCAAGGATAAAACGGTCCCGGTTGCGGCCTCTGAGTCTGGTCCGTCAGCAGGCAAACTGGTCCCTGAGTACGCCGAGTGGTCAGGATGTCAGTCGTAGAGAAGAAGAGATCCTGCCAGAGTGGCCATTTTTTGCAGGAAGGGGGACCCCTTCCAGGGCCCGGGAGTGGGCTGTTGTCTAACACTTAGAAATGAATTGTCCGAGGAGACATGTGCTGACAAAGCAAGAGACTTTACTGGGAAGGGGCGCCCGGGGGGAGAGCAGCAGGGGAAGGGAACCCAGGAGAACTGCTCTGCCACGAGGCTCTCAGTCTCGGGTTTTACGGTGATGGGATTAGTTTCCAGGTTGTCTCTGACCAATCATTCTGACTCAGGGTCCTTGCTGGTGGCGCATACATCACTCAGGCAAGATGGATTCCAGCAAGAAGGATTCTGGGAGGTTGGTAGGACATATGGACTGGTGACTCCTCTCTCCTTTTGAACTTTCCCAAATTCTTCTGGTTGGTGGTAGCTTATTAGTTCCACATTCCTTCCCAGGACCTCCTTTTGTAAGATAACTCATGCAGGTGGCTACTATCTTGCCTGGCCAGGGCAGGTGGTTAGCTTTGTTAGTGGTTCCCCTAAAAAAGCTATGCCAGAAAACACATCTAAAATGGGACAAGGTCTTGCCAATTGCTCTCTGTATGCTGGTGGCCCCTAGAAGCGGGCTAGGATTGAGCCCTTATGGAATTATATACAGGGGACTACTCCTGACGCCAAAATCTTGGCTCTCTGTGCAACGATGTCGAACAGAAATATGGAGACAGAGTTATGGAGGAAAAGAAAGAGTGGCTTTGTTTCTTTGCCAGACAAAGAGGGAACACAGTAGGCTAGTGCCTCAAGATCTGTGCCCCACTCCCTTGGGAATAGGGAGAGGTCTTATAGTCGGGGCTCCTGGTCAGGGGTATGTGATAAGGATCAACACAGTAACAGTCCTGCATTCTTCTTTCTTCTGCAGAGTTTCAAAATGGTGGGGTTGCTGACAAGATTAGGGTGTGTACAGGGTCCCAGGTGGTGGGTCTCATCATCTAGATGAGCTTCTCTGGTCCCTTTAATCTCGCCTCAAGTGGTTTCCTGGCTGCTCCTCCCTTGATTAGCAACTGTTCGAATCTGCCCTTTGGAACTCGGGGAAGGTCATGGAGGCTGGAGTCTTGCCTACAAGAAATGGGGGACAAAAAGGCCTCCATGCCTGGGAGCCCCATAGGGGCTCCCAGCAACGCCACCCTTGGGAAGCATTGTTATAAAACTCCTTATCAAATCCTCCCGGGTTGGGACACATAATTTTGGGGGGCAGGAGCCCACTGTGTCCCCCTTTGCCTGGCAAAGTAATACAGTTATCCTTTTCTACTTCACCCAAAACTCTGTCTCCGAGATTTGATTTGGCACCAGCGTACAGAGAAGCCGAGCTTTCGGCATCATCCCCGGCCACAGGATTAATTATGCTGAATAAATCCAGAATTTAGGAAGCATGGTTCCATAGCTAAGTAACTCTCTGGGATATAGTCTGTTTGGTGACATGAGAACCTCATTAGAGACCTCATCTATAATCATGGGTCAGAGGGTGTATTAGTTTGCTAGGGATGCCATGACAAAATACCACAGACTGGATGGCTTAAACAACAGAAATCGATTTTCTCACAGTTCTGGAGGCTAAAAGTCCAAGATCATAGGGTCAACAGGTGTGGTTTCTTTTGAAGCTTCTCCTTTTGGCTTGCAGATGGCTGCCTTCTGCTCTGTCCTCACAAGATTGTCCCTTGGTCTGTGTGTTCTATGTCCTACTCTTTTCTTATAAGGACACCAGTCATACTGGATTAGGACCCACCCATACGACCTCATTTTATCTTAATTACCTCTACAGGCCCTATCTCCAAATGTTGCCGAAATCTCGGCTTCTCTGTGCACCGATGCCAAACGGAAATACAGAGACAGAGATTTTGAAGGATGAGAGGGATGGCTTTATTTTTCTGTCAGGCAGACGGGAAGACACAGCAGGCTAGTGCCTCCAGAACTGTTCCCTCCTCCTTGGGGAATCGGAGAAGATTTTATACGTGGGGCTCGCAGTCCGGGGTATGTGATAAGGATCAAAGTAGTGAAGGTCTTGCATTTTTTTTCCTTTGCATTATTTCAAAACAGTCATAGCTGACAGTCAGGCAGCCCAGTAATTGGGGTCCGGCATTCCGGTAATTGGGTTCATTTGTCTCTGGTTTATCGGCCAGCAACCTTCTCTCTGAAATGCAAAAGCTACAGGGGGTGATTTGTTACAAGGGGGCATAGGGAATGGAAGCCCTGGGATGTAATAAGGTTAGGGAGTGACAGGCACAGGATGTAACTCACCCAGTTAGGGGTGATAGGTGCAGAATGTAATTTACATAGTGTCAGGGAGTGAGGTTAATTTTGTGAAGTACAAATCTAGTTACAGATACTACAGACGAGTGACGGTTAAAATAAAACTAGGAGTGATTAACTCTTTCAGGCCAGGTTACATTTCTTCTCTAGCTTGTTCACTGTTCCCTTTGTTTTCCTTGCTCTCAGGAAAAGGAAAACTTCATTTCTATTTTTGCTGCAACACAAATACAGTCACATTCTGAGTACTAGGATTAGGAATTGAATATATGAATGTTAAAGGGACACAATTCAGCTTGTAACAGGGGGTATGTGTCCAATGAAGGAAGGAAGGGCCTGTAGTGTCAAGTGAGATTTCCCAGACCTCTGCTTTGTCTGATCATGTCTCTGCTGACTAAAAAAGTATTCACAACCTAAAAGTTGAGAGTTATGTTTCATTTGGCAGGAATTTTTAGGACTTCAAGCCTGGGAGGCAGCATCTCAAGTAACCCAGGAGTTCTGAGGAGGTGAGGGGAGAGCTAGGATATATAGCAGTTTTGCAACAAGGGACAGGTAGTCGTAACATCAAAAGATTACTGTTAATTAAAGAAAACCAGATATCCGGAGTTAAGGAATTTAGCGCTTTTCTCTGTATGGGAAGATGCAAGAGTCTGGGCTCACTGAAATCGTTCCTTTGAAATGCACCTCAGCTATCTGGGGCCAGTATCCGGTGTTTTTACATCCTGAGTTTCCTTGGGGCTCACCATAGAGAGTGGCTGCAGCCTGATGGCTGCTAGATGGCAGGTATTCTTCCCTTCCTGAGTTCCCTCAGGGCCACCAGGTCTGGCAGTGGCTGTAATCATTGATGGCTGTGACATCCTTTGTCTACCGGTAAGGCAGGAGATATTCCATTTATCATCTCCATGATCTGCATCTTTGACCATATTAGTAAAGCACGATGCTGGTAAGATATCTGATTCACGTGAATCTGATCCTGGGTGTTAGCACCAGCTGTATCTGTACTGTTTACTTTTTAGAAAAATAGACTGGGAGCCACTGTGAAAAAATATTAGTGGATGTCTGGATGTCTGCTATAGCATTTTTTGTAATTTTCGCTTTCTTTAAGTTTCTCAAAATAAAAATAGAACAAGAGGATGGGGGTAAGGAAACGTATGCTTGAGCAAAGGTAGGAACATGGGGTACAAAAAGGTGTTAAATTAATTAAACAAGGAAGCCATTAGACTGATGTGGCTCTAATGCCCTTGGCAGTCTCTGTAAATGCCTCTAATTTCGGAAATCAAAGGTAAGAACCAAACCCAAACAGCCAACTATGCTTTAACGTTATAGCCAATGAATAATTTCCTTGCTTTGCCTTTACTCTCTAAAAGTCTCTCCTTAGTTCCTGGAGCACCCCTACTGAAAGGAGTAGGCCTTTTTGGAATTATTTTATTGTACTTTTTAAAAATGTGCATTAAAATCTAAAACTCCAAGCCGTAATTGTCTGTAGAAATGGCAGGTGACAAACTAAATATTTTTAAACCTCTCTTATTTGCCTCTGATGAGCACCGCCCTCTCAGATGTTGTTTTGATATTCCACTATACGCAAGCCATCTGTGGGTGAATCATCGGGTGGCTAAGAAAGAAGTAAGAAGACAGTCTGCAGCCCACCGAAAAAAATACTTTAGCATTGTTCTTAAATATTTATGTACTTTTAATTTCTCCAGGGCCGGAGAGGTTTACGAACCCAAAGCGCACAACAGCTGGGATCGCAACATCGAGAGTAAAAGAGTCCTGAGAAGTCGGTGACCAGCCACGGTGTCCCCAGGTCAAGCCCGGTCACGACTTAGGATTCCGCACTTACAAAAAGCGAACACTCCGCCGGCCCATTAACGGCCCCGGACCCGCGGAGGCGGGGCCAGGAAACGCCCAATGCGCAGACTCCGCGGCCGCACGCAGGCGCACAAGGGAGAGGCCACGAGGGCGGGGCCCCGAGGGACGGAGGGAGAGTGCGACAGAGGGCGGCCCCAGGCCCGAGTGGCCGACGTTGGGGCCGTTCCGTTTCTTACGCCTTAGGAAGGCTATGCGGGTGCCCATGGCTTTGCAGGGCGTCTCGGTAGTGGAACTGGCCGGCCTGGCCCCGGGCCCGTTCTGCGGTATGGTCCTGGCGGACTTCGGGGCGCAGGTGGTGCGTGTGGACCGGCCGGGCACCCGCGGCGACCTGAGCCGGATGGGCAGGGGCAAGCGCTCGCTGGCCGTGGACCTGAAGCAGCCGCGGGGAGCGGCGGTGTTGCGGTCGCTGTGTGCCCGGGCGGATGTGATGCTGGAGTCCTTCCGCCCTGGTGAGCCCCAGATCCCGACGCTACGCGAGACCGGACGAGGGACGCTCCCCGAAGAAGGGAGGCCGCCGGGCATTTGGGGTTGGCACGGCACACCTTTTCCCTGTTGCCACCCGAACCCTTTCCGTCCCTGTCTGTCTAGACCTTTCTGTTGCATTTGATATTGTTGCTGATCGTTCGCCCACTGAGACGGTCTTCCATACTTGGATTCCGAGATACTGTTGTTGCCTTTGCTCTTCTCATACCTCTCTCTGACTCCTTCCCAGTTTCTGTTTTTTTGAGTCACCCTATTATAGTTGCCATTCTTAATTACTTGAGGATCGTGAACCCTATGAGAAACGATCGAAAGCCATAGATTCTCTCCCCGGAAAGCTGCATATAGGTACATAGTCATTTTGTTACCGTTTGGAGCTTGGTGTACCTCATAAAGCCATCCACGGACCCAGGACAACTCCCTGCCTTAAATGCTGGTGTTCCCAAGTTCCAGCTTCTGCTCAATTTCCTTTACACTCTGCTTCTTGGAGCCACCTTATCTATTCCTATTACTTTTACTTTTTACAGGCAGATGTTGGCCAAATCTATAACTGTACCCCCTTTTAGAGCCACAGACTTCCGGAATACCCAGCTCCTGTCCATTTCTACTTGGCCTTCCCCCGGGCACTGCAGCTTCCACGTATTCCAAACTGAGCTCATCATCTTCCCTACTAAAATGAAAACTCCTCTTTGTGTTTTATTTCAGTGAAATAAAACTCCTCTTTGTGTTTTATTTCAGTGAATGGAACCAATGTCCACCCAGTTGCCTGAATCAGAAACTTGTACTTCAACCAGGACTCCAAATCTTCCTTTCCCCCTGCCAGCTTTCAGTTATCACCAATCCCATCATTCTTCCTCCTTCCTATGACTCAGGATTCTTTCTCTTCATACCTGCTGCAGCTTCCTTGGCAGCGTTTTTTAAAGCTGATGTTTGGGTGTAGCACCACTCCGATCTATTCTTAGACAACTGCCACCGTCATCTTGCTCAAGTACAAATACAGAGCTTTGCCTGGTATATAGCAGGAAGGCAGTAAATGTTTGGTGGATGAATTGAATGAATGTGGACACCAGGCATATTTAAATATGTCAATTCATTTACCCTCAGATTTGAGGATTATAACAATAATAATTTAGTAATTAGGATTATGTCATAATTTAATAATACCGTATTTGAAGTTGAAGGAGGTCCGGCATGGTTAAATAACTTGTCCACAATCTTGGAATTAGGAGGAGGGTACAGCTGTGAATACAGACGTAGCTGCCGAGGTGGGGGGGGGGGGGGATTGTGGCTGATGTTTATCTAGGTAGAGGAATAAAGTTCTTTTTATTTTATTTTTTTATTTTTTATTGAAGTATACTTGATTTACAATGTGTTAATTGCTGTACAGCAAAGTGACTCAGTTATACATATTTATACATTCTTTTTCATATTCTTTTCCATTAAGGTTTATCACAGGATACTGAATATAGTTGCCTGTGCTATATGTAGGACCTTGTTGTTTATCCATTCTGTATATACCAGTTTTCATCTGCTAATCCGAAACTCACGATCCATCCCTCTCCCAGCCCCCTACCCCTTGGCAACCACCACTCTAGGAATAGAGTTCTTTTGTAACTTATCATAGCTTTATGGAGGCAGAGGCACGTTATAAGCCTGTGGAAAGAGATGAGGCATGGATCCTGCCAGAGGAGCTTCTGAGCTGATAGGGAAGATGGAATATATACATACATAAATAAGTATAGCAGGCACTGATGCGGATATAGACATAGAAAAGGTCCTGAAAGGAATAGCAGCTTCCAAAAGTGAATTTTTGGTCAAAGACCCAGAGTAACTTCCAAAAGAACAGACCATTTCTAATAAATTACTAAGGAGAGAATTTGGGGAACTATAAAGGGCCTGAATAAAGGGATGAAATGTCCACTCTGAGGATTGAAGATGCTTGGGTATGCCTGAAGGGATGCAGGGCAGTGCTGGAGGGAAATAGCATTCTGGGGGTCGGGGGGAAGCCACACATTCCAGAAATGGGGGCTTCACTCTCTGGGTCCTTAATTACTGGCAATACCCTATAAACCCGCAACAAATGTTACTAGTTTTCCTTGCAAGAGTGCTCTTTTATGTTTGCCACAAAGAAGGGATTATACCTATCCTCAATTCATGCTCTCCTAAAAAAAAAATTGTAACTTTTCTCAAGGTGTGATGGAAAAACTACAGCTCAGCCCAGAGATTCTGCAGAGGGAGAATCCAAAGCTCATCTACGCCAGGTTGAGTGGATTTGGCCAATCAGGAAGATTCTCTAGGGTAGCAGGACATGACATCAACTACTTGGCTTTGTCAGGTATGTTGAAAACAATAATTTCTCTACACTTTTTATTTTGTTCCCAGTCAAGATCTACAGTTACACTTATTAAAAAGAATTTTTTTAAAGTGAAGATTTAAATATTTGCTGGAATCAGTAAAGAGCATGTGGTTGTTTAAAAAGGGTTGGTTTGTCTTGGAACAGTCATTCTCATCCTCCCCCTGCCTTAACACATTGAAGGGGTAATGTGTTCACTAATGACATTTACTGATTACATTTGTGAAGTTAATTCTCCAGCAAGCCCCTGCTAGGAATTAAGAGACTTCTTGTTAGTAGAAAGGGTTGCTCTATATTTTGCAAAGATATAGTTTGATTTTGATACCCCTCGTCCCTCACTTTATTGAGAATCATTGACTGAGTCATGATTTTAGAAATTCTGTGAATACTAGAAAAAGCCCATGGTTTTCAGGTCATAACATCACCTTACTAGAGTTTTTGCCTGTAAGAACATATCTTAGGGCTTCCCTGGTGGCGCCGTGGTTAAGAATCTGCCTGCCAAGTTTGATCTCTGGTCTGGGAAGATCCCACATGCTGCAGAGCAACTAAGCCTGTGCACCACAACTACTGAGCCTGCGCTCTACAGCCCACGAGCCACAACTACTGAGCCCACGCACCACAACTACTGAAGCCCACACGCCAAGAGCCCGTGCACCACAACGAAGAGTAGCCCCCGCTCACTGCAACTAGAGAAAGCCCACATGCAGCAACGAAGATCCAACTCAGCCAAAAATAAATTAAAAAAAAAAAAAAAGAACATATCTTAGAATGGCCTAATTCTAGATTTCTAAGAACTGCATTGCTGAGTCAAGGAAGTCTCAAATTTTCTGTGTGTACACATTTAAAGGTTGAGGAAAAGAGTGAGTGTAGAGTTGGCTTTTCTCATCTACTTAAAAATTTAATTCCTTTTTCTTGTGTTTATTTTCTTGCATCTCTTTCTAATAAGAATGGAAGTGCATTATACTGTTGTTAAGCCATAAAGTGCTAAGTGGATAGCAACCATTTCCCCCCCAAAACCCAGTGAATAAAAACTTAGCAACAGAATTCTGAAAATGTTAGTTGGAATAAAGTTTTAGAGAAAACAAAAAAATCAAACAAGGAACGTTGTTAGAGGGAAAGCCTTCTCTTTTTTTTTTGCAGTATGTGGGCCTCTCACTGTTGTGGCCTCTCCCGTTGCGGAGCACAGGCTCCGGACGCGCAGGCTCAGCAGCCATGGCTCACGGACCCAGCCACTCCGCGGCATGTGGGATCTTCCCGGACGGGGGCACGAACCCGTGTCCCCTGCATCGGCAGGCAGACTCTCAACCACCGCGCCACCAGGGAAACCCAGAAAGCCTCCTTATAAATATGCTGAACAGGTTTAGATTTAGAAAAGCATTAGGTATTAGTTTTCACTTACAACAGTAACTAGGGAGATTGGTTTTCCCTCTAAGATGTTCATGTATTTATTTAAAAGAGGCATTAAGTTTACAGTTAGTGTTCCCCGATTGTTTTTAATGGTATAGGTGTTTTATCAAGAATTGGCAGAAGTGGTGAGGCTCCATATGCCCCGCTGAATCTCCTGGCTGATTTCGGTGGGGGTGGCCTCATGTGCGCACTGGGCATCCTGATGGCGCTGTTTGAACGCACACGCTCTGGCAAAGGTCAGGTCATTGATGCAAACATGGTAAGTGTTGATTGGGGGAAATGATAAGCCTACTAGTTGTTCCTGAGGTCGATATATGGCTGCCTCACATCCTCTTCTGAACAAGACGAGGTAAATGAGATTTGGAATTTGAATCCAAGTTACCAAGGATGGCCTTTTCTTTAAAATAGCTTCATATCTTGAACATGTGTCAGAATGTCATATTTTGATCATCTGTTTGTGGAGTCAATCTTCTAAACGTTTCATGACTCACTTGATTTCTATGTTGTGTTTCAACAATTTTCCCCGTGCTGTCTCTTGTGCTTAGGATATGGTTTTCAAGAAATCTTCATTCAAAACTGGGCTCAGGAAGTCTCCCTTAGCAGGTAGAGAAGATTCTTAATGATGCTCAAGTAAAATGGGCCAGTCTAGACCTTCCTGCTGCGTCGTGTAGGGGAGACTCAAGTGTCAGGATGCTTCGGCGTTTTTACCCTCATACACGTGCCTCATGTTATCCTAGGCACTTTTCCTGTGTGATTTCTCCTGATCCCCCAAACAGCAATTTCACTGGGAATACATTGTTATTTTAATGAAGAGGAAACTAAAGCACAGAAATTTGCCTCAGTTCTCACAGCTAGTTGATGAGAGCCCAGTCCAGTGTCACTATACCTTTGCGTTTGGACAGATCTTTGGCGGTAGGGTGGAGAATGGATTGGATGGAGAGAGAAAAGGTGAGAACTAAAATGGTTAATGGTAGAATGGGTCTGGATTTAAGGATTTACATTTGAGATGTAAAATTGCTGGGATTTGGTGAGATATTGGCAATGAAGGGAGAGGGAGGAATCAAGAATGGCTCCCCCATCTCTGGATTGGAAGACCCGGTGGATGGTGGCCCTGGAACCCTGGGGAGGATTGCTGAAGGCAGAGGGTGATTGGGGGAAATAGATACCTTATTCTTTAATTTTTTTTTTTTTTAATTTTCTTGGCTGTGCCGCACAGCATGTGGGATCTTAGTTCTCCGATCAGGGATCGAACCCTTGCCCCTTGCGTTGGAAGCATGGAGTCTTAACCACTGGACCACCAGGGAAGTCCCCAGATACCTTATTCTTTTGGGCCAGTAGTTTCCAAATGACTTTAGCAGCAGAATCCTTGATCCAGGCCTGTCTGTGATGACCTGGAGTTGTCTCTTCATCAGACTGTTGCCTTAGAAACTAGAGTTAAGGTAACTGTGGAATGTGCAGTCCGTTTTACGGTGTTTACTCCTGATCTGGGAGTGCTCATCTGACCTGGGGGGCTGTGTGTTGGCATGCAGGCCATTGGCCTACGTGATGAGAACAATATAAAAGGTTGGGAAATTGAGGCTGCAGTGCGTCAAAGCCTCTGGTCTGTGGCAGCACACGCTATATGTGCGTGAGGGGAGAAGAGAAGTATGTGCTGGGCAGCCTCATGATGAGATGAGGATTATAACTGCTGTGTCTCTTGTCCTCTATCCTCCTATGACACCAAGTAAAGGTGGAATTAAATTAGAGCCTGTTTGTATCCTGAGTGAGCCAGACCAGCCCCATAACACTGTTAGGATGTCTTTTTTCAATAGACTCATCACTACATCCAGTGTGTAAAAGAGAGTATATATGTATATGTATATATATGTGTGTGTCTATATGTGTGTTTGTGTGTGTATGTCTAAATGTGGGGACACTCTAAGATCTCTGTAACCCCATTTCAAAAAAAAGCACCACCACAGGCCACTTATACAAACTCCACTACTTGGTGACAACAAATGTCAGATCCGTGAATTGAAGTGTGCATGAGCTTCCTCAGGTTAAACGGGAAAACTGGGATGTATCTAAAGGTATATTTTGTGTTTGTTTTATTACAGCCAGAATCTGTGAGAAGTCCCATGCTCACAGTTGGAATGGGGCCCCTCCGTTGGTAACCTCAGAGACAAGGATGCTTTGATGGCCTTCTCCCTGTGGTGCCAGAATCATTAGGATCATAAAGCCATGAGGATAGGGAAGTAGTCTTCTTTAGATAGCCCAGTGCATCCAGCCTTGTGATAATCATACCTGAGTTTGTGAATCCATTCCCGTTACTTCAGGACTAGTGGGAAGTTGGCATTCCCAAACTAGTTTGTCTGTACTCTGAAAACCCATATACCTGCCACCCATACTGTTATGTTTATTTTGTAACTTTCTAGTGATTATTAAAGTTAAGATATATTAAATACTCAAATTTGTTTTCTTGGGCTTGGAGTCAAACTAGAACAAACTAAATTTAACTGTCATGTGATTTACCTTTAAAATGTGATATGCTTCATATATCTGTGTGTATGTGTTTGTAGGTATTGAGATCAGATGGTAGATTTTTAAAAAAACCTTTTTGCTTTGTTTTCAACTTTTTTATCCTCACAGTTGTTAACATATATAAAAATAAAGAGAATGTATAATGAACTTCCATGTACCCTCACTTAGCTTCAAAAATTATCAACATTCTGCCAATCTTATTTGAAAGGAAGAACCAAAGTAGTTCCTTTAAGTCTTTTCTGAACAGTATTCCCTGATCTGAATAGTGCAGAAACTCACTCTATCATAAACCTGCTCTAACTCACTTTCTTGAAATATCAAAGAAGTTGTATAATTAGATATAATCTTCCTATATTCTAAGATAAACATTTTTATACAAATATTTTTTAAAAACTCAAGTAGAAATCGATCATGCTTTTTATAGTTGAATCGCCAGGATTTATACTGTATTCTGTTTCTTCAAAGGTGGAAGGAACAGCATATCTCAGTTCTTTTCTGTGGAAAACCCAACAAACAGGACTGTGGGGACAGCCTCGTGGACAGAACATGTTAGATGGTGGAGCGCCTTTCTACGCAACCTACAGGACGGCGGACGGCGGGTTCATGGCTGTTGGCGCATTAGAGCCCCAGTTCTATGAGCTGCTGCTCAGGGGTGAGTACCTCTTTTCTGTGGATGTTTTTTGGACTATTTTGGAGTCTTTTGAAGTTCATGATGTCTTTTATTATATATCCACCTTATAATTTACCTAATTATAGCCATCATTATATTGTGGGGCACTTCCCCCATCTTTTAAATTGACAAGTAAATTTACAAGTCTGTAAAATAGCTCAGATTAAAAAAATAATAATCCTTTTGGGGTAGTTCAGTGTCTTTGTCACATTTCATACTCCGTAGTGTCGGATACTTATCTTGCCCATGTGCGCCCACATCCTTTTCTTCCCTAGAAATGATCTACTGGTTCTACCAGTTTTTGTTCCTTGATAGATGTCCCTCATGGTACTTCAGTGACGGGGTCGCCAGAGCACAGAGAGACTTTGGTGAATGAGAGTGTGTTGGAATATGTCACCATCACTTGATGCTTCTGCAGTTTACCTTTCTTGCCGATTCTTGTCTTATTGACATGTTGCCACAAGTTAGCAGGAAAATTTGGGATCCCCTCTTCCCTAATTGATAATTGGACTGAAGTTACTTTGTTCCTGTGAAATGTGAATTTAAAGTTTACAGATAATTTAGTATCTAAGAAGTTTTAGAATGTACTCTGAAGCAGTGTGACGGGCTGGTTGCAGCCCGTTTATCTTTCAGCTTTAAGTTTGGAGTTTTATCGTCGTGTTTGGTAGCTTTTCAGATGCGCAGTGCTACTCAGAGTTATTTGTATATCGCTGAAATGACCGTTTTTGCTAGCCTCAGAAAGCATTCTCTGATCAACTATATTAACTTCACCAACTTAACTATAAGTTAGAGAAACCATAGAACAAAATGGTTTATCTAGATCATAGAGGATGCCTTTCCGTCCAGAAATTAAGACTAAGACTAGAGGTCAATTCAAAATTCTGGACAGAACAGTGCTATACGAGGGGCTGAGTGGTGGGAACAACACTCCCACTCTGGGGTTCAGGGCCCTAGGAAGCAGCAGGTACATAACATAGTGGAGTCTGTGCCTTACAAAAACCTTGTGTTTTTATCTATAGGGAATTTAAATATAATAATAAAATTAACTAATCTTCAGTGAAATTTTATTATCACCATGCACAGGCAATTCTAAATGACAGTTGCGACTGACTTTTTTTTTTTTTTTTTTTTTTTGACAAATGTCTCAGGAATAGGGCAGTGTAAACTCTGAGTCAGATCAGCTGAAGACAAGCCCTGAGGGTGGGGATTTTCAGGGAGCTGTCAGACAGGCCAAACATTGGCGCTTCTCTGGGGATAGGATTTTGTGGGAGCTTCAAACTCATTTTGCCTCCTCTTCCTTGGCTGTTAACCTACTGATTTTCATGACTACCATTGTTGAGAGGCTGTTGGTTTTCAAGGCCATCACAGAGCTGGGGAGAGAGGGATGAAATTAGCCTAAGTTATAACACCACAAAGCTCACTGGTCTTACTGAGTTCAGTCATTTTTTTTCTTAAATATGCTCCTTAGATTGTTGCAAGCTTTTAGTTAATGTCTAGAGTTACGAAAATGTTGATTCTGACAATTTGTGCCAGTGTTCTTGTTGCTTTCATACAGGAGCCAAGTGTTGAAGGTCCTTGCTCTGTCATTTCAGAATTTAACTCCTCTCTGGGGTGTATTTTGTTGTTTTCTTAAAAACATACATGTTTAGAATGATCATGTCTCACATCCACACTCCACCTCATTTTGTAGCAGGCAGACTGCTCCAGCCCTTGACCTGTGATAATCTTCTCCCGGGCTTCCTCTTTCTGAGTCTAAACTCTGTAACCCCTCCAGTTGTTTTGCAGTCGCGGCCTTTTGTGGTATCTTTCATGTCCTCTCTCCCTTTAAGGTTCACTAAGGATCCTTAGCTGGCAGGTGGCTTGTGCTTTCGGCGGACTTAGCAAGTTCGTTCAGCTTTTGTTTAACCTACATAGTCCGTGCCGAAATGCCTCAGCATCTTCTTTCTTCTACAGTATTGATTTGCAAAAATAGTACTTGTACTTGTCCCATACACATTACTTCTCTCTCAGGCCTAACTGGACAAACCCCCACATCTGTAATGATTTTTTGAGGTAGTATTAATTTATTTATTTCACCTTATATACTGAGATCTTTGAGAACATACCTTCATTTAGCTCTCAGTATCTGAACATAAATACACAAGGTTTTTGTAAGGCTCCGACTCCTCTGTGCTATGCCCCTGCTGCTTTCCAGGGCAAAGAAGTCTGAAAGTACTGCGAATTTCATGACCTCTTGAGACTCTTGTAGTAAATCAGATAAGCAATAGAGATTTTTTTTTTTTTTTTTTTTTTGCGGTACGCAGGCCTCTCACTGTTGTAGCCTCTCCCGTTGCGGAGCACAGGCTCCGGACGCGCAGGCTCAGCGGCCATGGCTCATGGGCCCAGCCGCTCCGCGGCATGTGGGATCTTCCCGGACCGGGGCACAAACCCGTGTCCCCTGCATCGGCAGGCAGACTCTCAACCACTGCGCCACCAGGGAAGCCCCTGTATTCTTAATAGTGACTAAAATGGTAAATTTTGTATTTTGTGTATTTTACCACAATTTAAAAAAAAATGAAAAAAATTCAAAATAATGTATTTTTTTAACGAAAAAAAATGTAAACAATACAGAATTTGTAAAGTAAGAGGTAAAAATTCTCCCTTGTCCTTCCGCTTTGGGAAAGTTTGGGATGTGGCCTTGAAGAACTTTCCCTATGCACATGCAAACACAATTAAAATTTTTTTACAATTTATATATAATCTATTTAATTATATAAATTTATAATTAATAACTATTTTTATTCAAAAATATAGCAAAGACATCCTTTTTTGTCAGTACCAAAGATCTTCAGCCTCACCCTCTTTATATAGCAGCCATATAATATTCCGGGTATACCTGTACTAAAATTTATTTAACCACTTCCTTATTCAAGTTAATTTACGTTCTTTCCAGGTTTACATTATAACACATAATGTTTATTGTTTATTAATAAGCATTAATCTTTGTACATATGTCATTGCATACTTGCAGCATACATTTTTGACTGCTTAATATGTGCCTAATATTGTGTTACAGAGTAGAAAGTTTATGACGTGTACTTAAAACAATAAATATTTTGTATAATTGTGTGTGTGTGTGTGTATACATGTACGTATAAGGTAGTTTTTTGGAAATCAAAACATATTTTCCCAAGTTTTAAATGGTATCTGAATCCCCAGGTCAGTCTCTGAAAGTCTGTTTGACTTATAATAGCAGAAATTGAATATTGATTGTACTATAAAAGCTAGCCACAATCGATAATTGTGCTCTGTGGGGAAATGGACTCAGAGTTACGCATAGGCTGTCAGCAGCACAGGAAGCAGCCCACCCTAAACCACTGGTAGTTTGTTCTGGGGCCTTGATGAGGGGTTCTGAGCTTGCTGGGAAATTGTGGGCTGAGAAAGGGTGATAGGACGATGGAAGAGCTGGTGTGTCAGAGTTAGGGGTAGAGCCTGGGGTCTTTTGATTTCTAGTATTTTCCAGTATACAAAGTATGATCTGTGTAATCTCAAGTATAGTGTTTGTTGGAGAACTATTGACTCCAGTTTTACTTAGTTTATGATTCTGATCACATTCTGATTTTTTGTTTTTAAAAAACTGTTTAAAAAAGCATGCAAATATGTTTGCAGCAGTAGCTGTAGTCTACTTCAATGCTTTTGGCCAACTGCTCGTTTTATGTGTTTTTTAATCCCAGAGTTCGGGGCTATCAGGAAAGAGAAAGCAAAGTGAAAGACGCCCTTAGAAACATTTCCTTATCGATTTTAGTGATAAACCTGAAACTGTGGCTCCATATCTTTCCTGGCTTTGAATGGGGCATGTGGCTACAGAGAATAATGTACTTGTGTATCCCACAGGTGTTTTTCCACAGCTGTTCAGAACTATGTGAATTCTCTTCATATCCCTCAAAACACTAAGAAGAGCCTGCAGTATTCATGTCTTCTTACCTCCTTAGGCACTTTTGCATCTTCAGAGCAGCTTACAATTGGTCATTGTTTTTCAACGTGGTAGATGAGAAAAGGATGATAAAAGTGAGAATTACTTGATTAACTTGGCCAAACTTATGCAAAATATTATGCGTAATTTAAATTTAGAAACCCTCTTCTACAAGAGGGAATAAAAATGACAGTTACACCAAACCCCAACAAAGTGTCCCCTTGGGTATAATTTAATCAGCACTGGAGTTTGGTTGTATCTACAGGGGTAGGTGCTTGTAGTCAATAAAGGAAGCTCAGGTCAGGTCATGGGGCAGAGAAGCCATCCTTCCTGTGATATCCCCTGGTGGATGCTTTCATCCTGTCTGTCCCTTGTGTTGATGGGCCCTTCAAGGTTCTTCATACTTGAGAGAGCAAAAAAGTCTCTGTGCCCCCTGTTGATTGGCTGGCTGAAAATTTTCTGTCCTGTTTGCTATAGGAACAATTTGCATGTGTCTTTGGTTACTTTACAAGTTCTTTGTTCCTAGGTCACAGCAGGGTTGTAAGAGAGTAATGAGTCAAATATCACTGCCCTCCTAGAGCTCTTTTATTTGACGAAAATAAAGAGAAATGAACATTATTTATAAAATTGCAATCTTGAATTTAATCATTTATCTTTATACTTCTTCCTTGAAAACAGGGGTACAGGCATACCTCACAGACTTTGTGGGTTGGGTTTCAGACCACTGCAATAAAGGGACTATCTGAAAAAAGCAAATCACATGAATGTTTTGGTTTCCCAGTACACATAAAAGCTATGTTTACATGATACTGTAGTCTATTAAGTATGCAGTGGCATTGTCTAAAAAAACAACGTGCATACCTTAATTAAAAAATACTTTACTGCCAAAAAATGCTAACCATCATCTGAGCTTTGCATGAGTTGTAATCTTTTTGCTGGTGGAGGATTTGAAATATTGCAAGAATTACCAAAATGTGACACAGAGACACGAAGTGAGCAAATGCTGTTGGGAAAAATGGCGCCCATAGACTTGCTCCACCCAGGGTTGGCACAAACCTTCCATTTGTAAAGATGCAGTGTCTGTGAAGTGCAATGAAGTGAAGGACAATGAAACGAGGTCTGCCTGTAGTCTTGTATAAAGTGTTTAGATTTTAGCTTTTGTAGGGTTTGGGAGCACTATATGAAATATGGGTTTTTTTTAATATAAACTTATTTTATTTATTTATTTATGTCTGCGTTGAGTCTTTGTTGCTGCGCGTTGGGTCTTTGTTGCTGTGGGTGGACTTTTCTCTAGTTGCAGCGAGCAGGGGCTACTCTTTGTTGCCGTGCGCGGGCTTCTCATTGCGGTGGCTTCTCTTGTTGCGGAGCACGGGCTCTAGGTGCGCGGGCTTCAGTAGTTGCGGCATGCGGGATCTTCCTGGACCAGGGATCGAACCTGTGTCCTCTGCATTGGCAGGCGTATTCTTAACCACTGCACCACCAGGGAAGCACATGGAGTTATTTTAATTCAATATGACAGATAGTAACATCATGAGGAAATTTCTTTTTAAAAACCTACTCAGAAGGAAGAAGTCAGTTTCTGGAAACTAGACTATTAAAAATAGACTATTTTGGTTGAAATGTAAATAATAAAATCTTGGTAAAGACTTGGAAAGTCTGTTTTGAATCCTGTTACCCCTACTACCTTCTCCAGCCTTTGGCTCCAACTTCAAGTTGAGTTTGAATTTCTTCTTTTGACTCATTTGAGAAACCCTGTAGAACATCCTGTTTTGGGTGACTATAGTGAGTTCAAAACTCATTTTCACTGATTATATTTACTCTACCCAAAGCATACTAATTTAAGAAATTGTGTTTTTCTCTCAGGACTTGGGCTAAAGTCTGATGAACTTCCCAGTCAGATGAGCATAACTGATTGGCCAGAAATGAAGAAGAAATTTGCAGATATATTTGCAAAGAAGACAAAGGCAGAGTGGTGTCAGATCTTTGACGGCACAGATGCCTGCGTGACTCCTGTTTTGACTTTTGAAGAGGTTACCCATTGTGGTCACCACAAAGATCGGGGCTCATTTATTATTGATAGTGAGCAGGGTGTGAGTCCCCGCCCTGCACCCCAGCTGTCCAACACCCCAGCTGTCCCTTCGTCCAAAAGGGATCCTTTTGTAGGAGAACACACTGAAGAGATACTCAAAGAGTTTGGCTTCAGCCAGGAAGAGATCAGTCAGCTTAAGTCAGATAAAATTATTGAAAGTAATAAACCAAGAGCTAATCTCTAACTTCTAAGCCCCACAACTCAAATAAATTTGAATATTGCATTTACAGTATAGAATAATGCAAAAAAATTGTATGCATGGAAACATGAAAAAACAATATCACAGTGGTCCAACTATTCTGATCAGGAAACAAGGCTGATTATAAAGTGATGATTGAATTCTGAAAACGGTTAACATCATGGCTTTTGATTTAGGAATATTTTTAGTTTGCCTATACTAAATTGTGGCAGCTTTTCTGCCTTCCAATTTACTTGATTGGTTATATTTGTTGATTTAAAATATTTATATATTTATAATATACTTTAAGTGAATTAATATAATGCTTTTTATTAAATAAAGCTTTTTTCCCCCCAAAGTTCACTCATGCTTTTAAGTTTGTGAAAAACTTTCAAGAAAGTTCTTTAAATAGAATCTAAATCTAAATCTAAAATCGCCTTTTGTTACTCCTTGAAATATTTTAGTCTCTACTGTTAACCAGAATGAATGTCCTTAGATAGAAAAGTCTGATCCTTTTAATTTGGTGAGGAAATCATTCAGCCAGTGTCTTGGAACTGGAATTTTTGAAAATGTCCTGAGATTTCCTTCAGATAGTTGCCACCTCTCCATCGAGACCCGCTCCTGTGTGTAGCTGCCTGTTGGTATCATCCAAATGTGTCTCTTGATCAGTAAACTCCACCATCATGCATTTGAAAGTGTTAACTAGACTTTTCCTCCTCTTACCAGTCTCCAGCTTCCACTCCTGTGCTGTCTCCCTCTGCCGCCAGTAGGCCCCCACGGCTTACGCCTCACCTCATTTGGCCACTGTTCACATGTCCCTTACGGAGAGTCCTTTCCTGACCCCTGTCCAGGATGGCAGCTGCCTTGTCACTCGCTCTCCCCTCACCCTATTTCATTTTCCTTCACACTGTGTATCACTGCTGACATGCTGATTGACCCCAGCCCTCATTCCTTAACCAGTGCAGGCTAGAGCAGAAGCTTTATGAAGGACTTTGTAGGTTTCATTCCTGGGTTTCATTGCTAAGTCCCCAGTTCCTAGAGTAGTGCCTGGCCCATGACTGGAAACTTTGTGAATATTTATTAAAGGAATGAAACTCAACTGTGAAGTGCTGTCAGTTCCACCTTCAGAGCTCCCATATCCATCCTTCTGCCCATCTGCCATTGCTGCTTTCATCCAGACCCCTGTTACCTCTTCCCTGGACTACTATTCAACTTCCCTACCCAGCTTTTCACCTTCATTTTTTTCCCCATCATGTAGCAAGTTCTGGATCTCATTTCCACACACAGCAACATCCAGAAGAAGAGAGCGTCTCAGGAGCCCTCAGCAAACCTTGTCTTGTGTCTCCTTGGATCTAGATAAGTCACAAGCCAGTCCTGCACCAGTCTTTGGCAGAGAGGATAGGCTTGTCCTTAGATGAAGCCAACCTGCTTCTGGAGCTCCCCTGGACTCAACTTCCTGGAAGCTTGTGGGTATTTGAGGGAGGGGTGGATTCCTGAAGCTAGTCCAGGTTCCATCAGGATGGGGGAGTGGAGAACAGATGTTACATCTGTGACATACAGTATCTCAGTTGCTCTTCAGTGATCACAAGGGGAAGGTAGGGCAGGTTTCTCCATTTTATAGATGTGGACACAAGCCTCAGATGGTCCTAAACCATCTTAGTTCACATCTCCCTTAGTAATTTTTCCATGGTGCCCCTAGGTCAGAAGAAATACCTAACTATTCCACTTATAAATAATCAGGTCCCAACAACTGAAGTATTTATGTCCTGACAACTTATTAGCTGTTTGAAAAATATAATACATGTACATTGAAGATATTTTTTATTTCATGCTTTTTTAAAATTGAAGTATAGTTGATTTACAATATTGTGTTTAGTATACAGCAAAGTGATTCAGTTATGTATATATACTTTTCAGACTATTTTCCATTATAGGTTATTACAAGATATTGAATATAGTTCCCTGTGCTATGCAGTAAATCCTTGTTGATTTTATATATAGTAGTTTGTATCTGTTAATCCCATACTCCTAATTTATCCTTCCCCCACCCCTTCCCCCTTTGGTAATCATAAATCTGTTTTCTATGAGTCTGCTTCTGTTTTATACATAGATTCATTTGTATTATTTTTTAGATTCCATGTATAAGTGATACCATATAATTGTCTTTCTCCGTCTGACTTATTTCACTAAGTATGATCTCTAGGTCCATCCATATTGCTGCAAATGACAACATTTCATTCTCTTATGGCTGAGTAGTATTCCATTGTATATGTATACCACATCTCCTTAAGCTAATTGTCTGCTGATGGGCACTTGGGTTGTTTCCATGTCTTGGCTATTGTAAATAATGCTGCTATGAACATTGGGGTGCGTGTATCTTTTTGAATTAGAGTTTTCGTGTTTTCTGGATACGTACTCAAGTGGGATTGCTGGATCACATGGTAGCACTATTTTTAGGTTTTTAAGGAACCTCCATACCCTCCATAGTGGCTGCACCAGTATAAGTTGCCACCAACAGTAGGAGGGTTCCCTTTTCTCCACACTGTCTTCAGTATTATTTGAAGACTTTTTGATAATAGCCATTCTGACTGGTGTGAAGTGATACCTCATTGTGGTTTTAATTTCCATTTCAGTAATAATTAGCGATGTTGAGCATCTTTTCATGTGCCTTTTGGCTATCTGTATGTCTTCTTTGGAGAGATGTCTGTTAGGTCTTCTGCTCATTTTTGATTGGGTTGTTTGTTTTTGTGCTATTGAATAGTATGAGCTGTTTGTATATTTTGGAACTTAAGCCCTTGTTGGTTGCATCATTTGCAAGTATTTTTTCCCATTCCGCAGGTTGTCTTTTCATTTTGTTAATGGTTTCCTTTGCTGTGCAAAAGCTCATAAGTTTGATTAGATCCCATTTGTTTATTTTTGCTTTTGTTTCTATTACCTTGGGAGGCTGATCTAAGAAAATATTGCTACGATTTATGTCCGAGAATGTTTTACCTGTGTTCTCTTCTAGGAGTTTTATGGTGTCACATCTTATATTTTCGTCTTTAAACCATTTTGAGTTTATTTTTGTATATGGTGTGAGGGAGTGTTCTAATTTCACTGATTTACATGTAGCTGTCAACCTTTCCCAACAACACTTATTGAAGAGACTGTCTTTTCTCTGTTGTGTATTTTTGCCTCCTTTGTCGTAGATTAATTGACTGTAGGTGTGTGGGTTTGTTTCTGGGCTCTCTATTCTATTCCATCTACATGTCTGTTTTTGTGCCAATAGTGTGAAGTTTTAAGAACTGTAGCTTTGTGGTATTGTCTGAAGTCTGGAAGGGTTATGCCTCCAGCTTTGTTCTTTTTCCTCAGGATTGCTTTGTCAATTTTGGGTCTTTTGTGGTTCCATATAAATTTTAGAATTCTTTTTTTCTAGTTCTGTGAAAAATGTTATGGCTGTTTTGATAGGGATCACATTAAATCTGTAGATTACTTTGGTTAGTATGACCACTTTAACAATGTTAATTCTTCTAATCCAAGAGCATGGACTTTCCATTTCTTTGAATCATCTTCAGTTTCCTTTATCAATGTTTTATAGTTTGCAACATGTAGGTCTTTCATCTCCTTGGTTAAGTTTATTCCTAGGTATTTTTAAAAAATTAATTAATTTATTTTTGGCTGCATTGGGTCTTTGTTGCTGCGCACGGGCTTTCTCTAGTTGCAGCGAGCAGGGACTACTCTTCGTTGCGACACGCAGTCTTCTCATTGCAGTGGCTTCTCTTGTTGCGGAGCATGGCCTCTAGGCGTGCGGGTTTCAGTAGTTGTGGCACGTGGGCTCAGTAGTAGTGGCTCGTGGGCTCTAGAGCGCAGGCTCAGTAGTTGTGGCGCATGGGCTTAGTTGCTCCGTGGCATGTGGAATCTTCCCGAACCAGGGCTCAAACCGTGTTCTCGCATTGGCAGGCGGATTCTTAACCACTGTGTCACCAGGGAAGCCCTTCCTAGGTATTTTTAAATGCAATTTTAAACAAGATTGTTTTTTAACTTCTCTTTCTGATATTTCATTGTTACTGTAAAGAAATGCAACAGATTTCTGTGTCTATATCCTGCTACCTTGCTGAATTCATTAATTAGTTCTAATAGTTTTTGTGTAGTCTTTAAGGTTCTCTGTATAGAGTATCATGTCATCTCCAAATAGTGACAGTTTTACCTCTTCCCTTCCAAATTGAATACCTTTTATTTCGTTTTCTTGTCTGATTGCTGTGGCTAGGACTTCCAATACTATGTTGAATAGAAGTGGTGAGAGTGTGCATCCTTGTTTTGTTCCTGAATTTAGTGAGAAAGAAATTTCAGCTTTTCACTGTTGAGTATTATGTTGGCTGTGGGTTTGTTTTAAGTGCTTTTATTATGTTGAGATATGTTCCCTCTATACGCACTTTGGTGAGAGTTTTTATCATGAATGGATGTTGAATTTTGTCAGATGCTTTTTCTGTGTCTATTGAGATGATCCTGTGGTTTTTGTCATTTCTTTTGTTAATGTGGTATATCACATTGATTTGTGTTTGTTGAACCATCTTTGCAGCCCTGGAATGAATCCAACTTGATCGTGGTGTATGATCCTTTTTATGTATTGTTGGATTCGGTTTGCCAATATTCATTGAGAATTTTTGCATCTATATTTATCGAAGGTATTGTCCTGTAATTTTCTTTTTTGGTAGTGTCTTTGTCTGGTTTTGGTATCAGGGTGATGGTGACTACCTGGAATGACTTTGGGAATGTTCCTTCCTTTTTGATTTTGGGGAGTAGTTTGAGAAGATTAGGTGTAAGTTCTTATTTGTATGTTTGGTAGAATTTCCCAGTGAAGCTGTCCAGTCCTAGACTTTTATTTGCAGGGAGTTTTGTTTGTTTGTTTGTTTTTTAATTATATGTTCTATTTTACTTCTAGTGATGTTCAAATTATCTGTTTCTTCTTGCTCAGTTTTGGTAGGCTGTATGTTTCTAGAAACTTGTCCCTTTCTTCTAGGTTGTCCAATTTGTTGGCATGTAACTGTTCATAGTATTCTCTTATAAGTTTTTGTATTTCTGTAGTATCAGTTATAATTTCTCTTCTTTCATTTCTTATTTTATTTGGGTCCTCTCTCTTTTCTTGGTTTGTCAATTTTGTTTACCCTTTCAAAGAACCACCTCTAGGTTTAATTGGTTTTTTTCTATTGTTTTCTAAATCTCTATTTTATTTATTTCCTCTCTGATCTTTATTATTTCCTTCCTTCTGCTGACTTTAGGTTTTGTTTGTTCTTCTTTTTCTAATTCTTTTAGGTGGTAGGTTAGGTTGTTTATTTGAGATTTTTCTTGTTTCTTGAGAAAGGACTGTATCTCTGTTAA